GTTTTCTCTATCCTTCTGGTATTCATCAAAATAGTCATACTGACAGCAGGTTTATCCATTGATTTTAACAAAGAATACATGTTGCAAGTAAACCCAGCCAACAGACCAGATATAAGGGAGGTACTAACTGGACTTGAAGCCATTGCAATTGCCATGGATGTGGATCTAAAAGGAAAAGTGGTAATGTAGCACTAAGTCTTGATGTCATCTTCTGTTGTTTAATTATAATTGTTCTCTTTGTAGTGTATTTGTTGCAGTAATGAGACCAATCACCCTCCACCAATGGTTTTCAGGTACAGGGTGCAAAGAAAGTCAGTTTTAAAGGTTGCCATTCGGGCAAGCTGTAGCTGGCATCTACTAGCCCAAAATTCATTTCAACTAGCCCCAAAAACGTTTTGATAAGCAGGATTGTTCTTATGTAATTGAATTCCTCAAAAAACTTTACTTGCCAGTCAGGCAAGTTAAGAATAGAATTCGCTAGCCCAATAGCAAAATCCACTAGCCCCAGGCTATCAGACACTACTTGCTTTGCACACTGGCCTAGTATTCTTAATTTGGTTCAGATTGGTTAATATTTCCCCTCGTGTTGGCTTTTGGGGATCTCTTTATTTTGGTGTAAACTTCAACGATTTTAAATGATGTTTTTGAAAACTATAATGTGATTCACGGTTGACAAAATATTACTTTGTCTTTGACATTTACATTAAACAAAGATCTATACATTTGCAGAGAGATGATGCCCCACAGTCTTCAGGAGAAAGATCTCCTCAGGGTGGGTATCCATGAACTATAAATTTTTGTTTCCAATCAATGATAAGAATAGTAAACCATGAACAATGCCTCAAATAAACAACACCTTGCAGGTACATCTAAAACTCTCTAAAGAGGGGTCATTTGAGTGGTCACTCTAAAGCATTATTCACAGACTCAAATGTCAGATGCTTTCTACTACACAGTAAACACTACCACAGTTAAGTACATGTACTGCTCTTTAGTTTACATGTGAATAATAACACCAGACACAAGAGGATTTCATCCATGGACTCAAATGGTGGAACCACCTTGTACAGAATAACTTACAGTATCACTGGAGGAATTGCTCAGTAGCTTTCATTTGAAAGGTCACCCTTAAGGATCTTGTCCACAGATGTAAGAGTTAGTACCCCCTTGCACCGCATGATAAACTCAATGCTGTTATTTGCATGATCATACTTACAGGGCATCTTAGCCACGTACATCCCATATTTCTGACTGTTTTACCTGTAAGCTCACTTTAGCACAGCCAAGAACCCATTCCCTCATCTAGCCTGGGCTTAACTAGCTTGCATACCCAGTGGTAGAAGCACAGAAGACTTGCAAGGGTATAAGCAAATAAGGAGGAGTGGGGGAGATTCTTTCTCAGCACCCTCCCCCTGCCCAGCTTCAAGGTTTTTACTTCGGCGGAGCGCGAAGTAAAGGATTCGCGACGCTCAAGAATGTATCAAAGTTGCAATTTTTTGACAAGATTGGGCAAGCAAAGTTTGTAGGTTTTCGGTTCTATTCGGCTATTTGACGAAGTGAGAGCCGAATTAGTTCGAGATATCTCGAGATCACTTCGATTTCTTTGATTTATCCTTTAACTTTTTCGAGGAAGAAAGAATTATTATTTTGGCTTTCCCGGGGTTCGAACCGACTCACCTGTGTGACCCGTCAGATCAGAGGAGACTCTAAGTTGAGGGATTAGCCGATTGCGCTACTGCGACCCAAGGTAGTTTGGGATAGGAAAAATAGTTATGAAATGATGCACTAGTTTCGGGACAAGATTGGGCGTGCAAGTTCGTGACTCTCAGGTTTGTTTCAACTATTTCACGAAATGAGACCGGACTACTTCGTGATATCTTGAGATCACTTCGAGTTTAGTCATTAATTATTCGAGGAATAAATAGAGGATATTTCGTGGCCGCGCAGAGACACGAAATTTCTATTCGAGTGTTGAAATCATTTCACGAGTGAGCCCTTCCTTTGAACTGTTTTATGATGAATTTAAAGTTACAAAATCCTGCACAAAGTCATTTTGTCTTTGTTGAGTGTTACGTAGTAAAATTGCTTTCATGTGTTGCGTGACTTTCTCGAACGTTCTCTACGTTTTTGGATTATTCATGAATAATTAATTAGGGCATGTTTACATTTCAGCATGAGTCAGCAGATTTGCATCAGTTACTGAAATCATAAAATATGTCGAAAAGCTACTACTATTCGCCTGTTTGGTATTTTCTAAAACCTTATGTCAAACGGTATACAAGTTCCAAGCGAGTTCTTTTGACGAACTAAGTTTTTTTCCCACGAGCTGGACTGCTGTGTTTAGTCAAGTGTGACGAAGGTCGATTTTCAGGTTCTGTGTTTACAAGTTCGTGGAAGCCGTAAGATATCTGAAGTTCAAGTGAGAGTTTGTTGTTATTGGTAGAGGCTGTTTAGTTTTACTCAAAGTTTAAGTCAAGTTTGTGTTGGCGGATGCTGTGTATCAAAGCTCTGTAAAAGCTATGTTCCTTCGGTGTTAAACTTCCTTGTGTTAATCCGACATCCCTGCGTGCTGATAGTCAGTGAATAATTATCCTCAAAACTTTCGAACTCGTGACTTTGAGTTTTAGCCAATTCCATGCTCAACGTAATTGACTCCTTACCCATGCCTTACATATCTTTAGTCATTACATGATACTACTATGCTGTTTGTGAAGCCTGATGTGACTAAGAAAAATAGAGAATTGTTTTTTAAGAAAGATTTGTATGGAGTCATCAGAGCATAACTGGGCTAATATCTCGGAGACAATTTGTCCCGAAATGCTAGTTTTTGGCAAGTAGGCCTCTTGGATGTAGCTCTTTTCAGAATATGCTGACAAATCCCATAATTTCACAAATTAACACCTTACTCTTACCATATTTGATTTCTTACTCTTCCTCCGCATCTACAATTAATTAGTTCCACAACCACGACGCCGAAGTGTACGCTCCATAGCGTCTTGTTACTTCTTTAAATTTCACCTCATACCCTTGTCTGTCTTCCGTGCTTCTTACACTTGGGTAAAAGGAAATCAAAATGACCACTACACATGCCAGGGTAAAACTGATTTTGATTTTTCTTTAGGGAGTACCAGTGGACCACCGCAACTACCAGCATCTGGCAATTCAGCACTACTTGGTGGAGTAGTGAAAGGTGCCAACAGTTTTTTTAGCAACATTAAAGACATGTCCAACAAAGTTATGCAGTCTGTTGCAGGGTATGTTCAACATTTCTGTGGCTGTTCTTGAGAGCTAATGGTGAGTTTACGCAACAGGACGGCAGGAGGAAGAGGACGGCAAAATGTTTGTGTGTGACAAACGTGACAGGGCTATAACTTGCATGTTATGTCATGATCTTCACTCAGCATTAATGTTTTCTGGTTTTTACAAAAAGATCTGTTTAAAGGAAAGTGATGGTTGGCGAAAAGTTATTTCAAACAAATTTGCTGTCACAGTTGTCACACAAGGTTTGCCGTCTTCATTCCTCTCCCGTCCTGTTGCGTAAGTTCACTAATAATACAGCTGTTGAATGATAGTTGATTAATTTTATCATGACATTGTTGTACTGTATGTGCAGCAAGGGCAGGTACATGCACACAATATTTGGTCTGAGTCAATATTGTCACATGCTTTCTGTCTTTAACAATTATTCCTTGAGCCTGAATGGGTTCTGAGTCTGAATGAGCTATTGACTCAGAGGCCATGAGGACGAGAGGAATAATTGTTTTAGTAAAATCCAACTAGTTGGTCAAAAATATCGGGACAAAACAACTTTAGCTAGCAAAATGCGATTCAGCTGCCATTGTTTTGGTTTTCAAAGCCAATGCTTTTCACTACTAGCGGGCTATAACATATATCCTAGTAGTATTTCAACCAATCAGAACACAGCATTGACAATAGACCACTAGTTGGATTTTACTAAAGTCATATACACATGTTGACTGTTTATGGCCCTCCCTTTTTCGTATTTGTATTTTTATTCCCTGACTTTAGTCACATGGGTAAGAACGGGATTTAACCGTAGGGGTTCAGAAAGGGAATTTGATTGATCACCCTCCCCTTGCAGCACACCTCTAGCCCCTCACATTTCAAGTTCAAGAAAGTAAATAGATATTAAATATTTCTTTTTTCTTTTTATTTCGTTCTTTATCATTAGATATGTCAAGAATGACCTGGACCTATCGTACATCACTTCCAGAATTATGGGTATGCATTACTTCCTTCACTTTTTCATACTCTGGCTAAAAGCACTTATGGGAAGCTGTGAAAAGAAAAAGCTCAAATTTTATTATAAAGTTAATAGCACTACTTAAAACGCTTTTAAAATGTTTTTTGTTGTAATGCGTTGCTTATAGACTTTATCACCAGGGGTTCCATTTAAATGGTTACGCACTTAAAAAGCTAGATCACATACAGCGTAATAAACAGCGCCTCTCTGTAATACAAACACTTCGTTCTGTCCATTTTGTGTCAATAGGAAGTAGCTTTGACAGTAGTTTTGGACAGTATTTGCGTTTTTGTTTTGTTAAGTTTTCATTGTTGCTCTTTTTTCCTTTTTTAGTGATGTCTTATCCAGCAGATGGCATTGAATCTGCCTATAAAAACAACATCGATGATGTACGATCTTTTCTAGACTCTAAATATCCCGAGAACTATCTAGTAATAAATGTATCACCCAGGACATACAGGACAGAGAAACTCAGTGACAGGGTACGTTCACCTTCTTTTTATCTAGATTTTATATCTGTAACCGGCTAACACCTCAACAACCCGTTACCGCCCGTGTGCAAACACCTCCCTTGTATCACTTGTGACGTCATCAGTTTGATGTCCAAAGATGATCTTCTCATTTCACGAGTCTCTGTGATCACCTATCAAAATATATGATAGGTGATGTAAGAGCACATGCTTGAAATGAATTCTCAAAATGGCGGCTGCTTCAAACGCGACGAATTTGCTCGTATAGAGCCGACAAGTTTTTAGGAACAAATAATGTAGTTATACGCACAGTTAAACCATGAGTCCATTATTTTTTGTCTTATGACATTAGCAAATTGAAATTGACATTTAATTTTAATTTAATAATCTCTCCCTCACTATTTAGGCAGTTTGAGTAGCCAATCAACAAATTTGAATTTTCCCTCTTGACCAGATCTCGCCTTACACTTCATCAACAAGAGATTTTGGTACAAAATTAGCTGTAAAGAGCAGCTCAGAGTGACAGCTATAATTTTCGAATTCTTGTATACCTGCAAAGTTTTGAACAGTTAACCAGAGACTTGAGAAACTTTGGTCCTATTTTACAGGTGTTGAATTGCTGCCTGGTGGGCCATAGGCTTCCTCCGCTAGAGAAGCTGCTATCACTGTGTAGGAAGATGTATTCTTGGTTGAAGACTGATAAGAAACATGTGATTGTCATACACTGTCAGGTAATGAAAAAGTAGCACAGGTTTGTATTGCTGTCAAAGCTTTCAGACTCTCAGGATTGGCTAGGCTCAAAATTCAGCAAAAATACCTTATTCTGTTTTGTAATTTAATGTCAAGCAGATGATGCCACGTGAAAGAACTGCTAAAGAGGTTTCATTTGAACGGTAACACCATAGGATTTCATCCACAGACTCAAAAGTTAGAACTACATAGTAAATAAATAGTACCATGTGAAAGTACTGCGGAAGAAGTTTCATTTGAATGGTAACACCATAGGATTTCATCCCGGCTTAGACTCAAAGGTAGAGCCACATACTAAATGAATAGTACCACGTGAAAGTTCTGTCAAAGCGGTGTCATTTGAATGGTGCATGGCACACCATAGGATTTCATCCACAGATTCAAAAATAAGAACCACCTCCCAAATTTCTATCATTCAGTTTGCATGGGACGGGCTCCTGTGGAAGTGAAAGTGTAAACGGATCATTTGAGGTTTCTGGGTAACTGACCACGTACCCCTCCCGTAACTAACAGTTATTTTGCCTTAAGTGAGAAGTAGTGTAAAGGTCGAGTAAACCTGAACGAAGTGACCTTCCTCTAACGCACGGTCCATTTTCTTTACCAGGATGGTAGAGAGGCGTCTGGTGTTATTGTAGCAGCGTTGTTTGTATTCTGTAAATTGTTCAAAAACCCTACTGGAGCAGCCGACATGTTTAGTATTCGTCGTTGTGGAATTGGACACAAAGTGTCACTGACAGCATCACAAGAACGGTAAGCCTGCTATTCTTCATTTTTTTTCTTCTACATGAAGTGCGTCTGAAAACTCCGTTATTTGGGAGCTTAAGCACAGGCGTTTTCAGTGAGCAATACGTTTGTCGTGATTGTAAAAAAATCGCGAAATGAAAGACCCGCGAAAGTAAATTCTCGCGAAGTTTAATACCCATATAGAAAATTCAAATAACAATTGACATGTAATAATAATAACAATTGACATGTGAAAGCAACGATTTGTATCGACAAACACAAATTGCTTTCTGGTTTTACTGGTAAGCTCCATTTCGTCTCTTCCGTTGTGAAATGACGTTGGTTTGCAAAGATTTCACACATAGCTTGTTCCAGTTTATGTAATTTTCGTAGAGGTTCAGGCATTTTCAATAAAGAAAATGAAGTTCAGAATGCTTAAGTCGCGAAATTTAATGCCCTCTTTTCATGTTTACTTGTTAAATTCGCGAAAATATAACCCCGCGAAATACTGTCTCGCCAAAATCGCGAAGAATTAAGTACCAATAAGGAAGACAATAGAGGTGGAAGCCAAGGTGATCCCTTGCCGCCCGGTCCACGGTAATTAGAACGAGCAAACGTTGACTGCAAGTCTAAACATTGTACTTGCTAATAGATGGACTTTTTCCTTTGTTTCTGTAGTTATCTACTTTATATAACTCAGCTGATTAATAACCAGGAGATGAAGCCTCATCAGTATTCAGTGTACATCAAGTCAGTTACCATGCACCCAGTCCCAGCCTTTAACAAAGCCAGGTATGGAAGTTTTGAGTTTTTCCCTGGGAATTTACCGGTACATCCCAGGTTTTGAGTTTTCCCTGGGAATTTACCGGTACTTCCCACGTTTTGAGTTTTCCCTGAGAATTTACCGGTACATCCCACGTTTTGAGTTTTCCCTGGGAATTTACTGGTACATCCCACGTTTTGAGTTTTCCCTGGGAATTTACCGGTGCATCCCACGTTTTGAGTTTTCCCTGGGAATTTACTGGTACATCCCACGTTTTGAGTTTTCCCTGGGAATTTACCGGTGCATCCCACGTTTTGAGTTTTCCCTGGGAATTTACCGGTACTTCCCACGTTTCGAGTTTTCCCTGAGAATTTACCGGTACATCCCATGTTTTGAGTTTTCCCTGGGAATTTACCAGTACATCCCACGTTTTGAGTTTTCCCTGGGAATTTACCGGTACTTCCCTGGTTTTGAGTTTTCCTGGGAAGATACCGCTGCATCCTAGGCTTTGAGTTTTCTTAGGGAATTTACCGTTGCATCCCACTTTTTGAGTTTCCCTGGGAATTTACCGGTACATCCTACGTTAAAAATTTTACCTGGGAATTTACCAGTACATCCTACGTTTTGATTTTCCCTGGGAATTTAACCGGTACACCCCTTTAGGTACGCATGCGCGGCGCCAAACTGATCTCAGGCGAGGATTAATGTCTTGATTTAGTAAGGTCTCGAATCATTATGACTATCACCAGCATGTAATCAAATGGCTAAATTACAAAAAAGTTGTTAGTGTCTTAACTTGCGACAAGCTCTCCTATTTGGGCGAGTGAAGCGAGGCTCGCGAGAACGCGCGAGCGAGCGGCGAAGCCGCGAGGGGCCCCCTCGCTCGCGCGTTCTCGCGAGGCTCACTTCGCTTACCCAAATAGGAGAGCTTGCTCGCAGGCTATTGGTGTCTGAAAACGGGAAAGTGCAAACTTCATGGTTCTGTATGCTACATGAATTTTTGTGCGTAAGGGCCTTGGCGAAGCCATTTGGCAGATTTATCCCTGTATTGTTTGTGTTAGTTAGTATTGTATGAACAGTTTTGTTCAAAAATCATTCTTTTTTTTTGTAGGAATGGCTGTCGTCCATTTATTGAGGTGTACAATGGAGAACAGAGAATACTAACGACAGTTCAGGAAATTGAAAAAATGAGGTAGGGTGCCCATGTTGTTAGCGAACCTAAGTAAATAAATAAAACGCAAAGAGCAATGATAAAGAATCAGAGCGTCGCCATAATTCTTTTGAATACTGTTCCAAGCACTGTTTTTATTGAATTTCTTTTTACAGGGATTACAATCTAGGTGACGGTAAGGTGTCATTCCCTGTGAATTTTACTTTGCAAGGAGATGTGACCATTGTAGTGTACCACGCCCGCTCCACGCTTGGAGGCAAGGTACAGGGCAAGGTTACTTCTATGCGAGTGTTCATGCTACAGTTCCACACTGGCTTCATCAAAGCTTCAGCACAGAAACTCAAATATTCACGGTAGGTCACATAATAATACATGTATACTCATTTAGCCTCTGCCAAAAGCGGAGCTCTCGTGAAATGTCTTTCTGGAGTAATTCAATTTTCACCATAAACAAGAAGCAAACTGAATTTCCCCTGAAGAAATGGACTTGAGCCTGCGATCAATTGAAAACCAATAACTGGTAGCGGAGAACTCAGTGAGTTGTACATTTAAACCGCGATTCAGTCATGTGACACTTGTCAGGGGGTACTCTATTTTGATAGCTGTCACTTGTTTGCCAGGACCTCGCTACTAATAGCTCACTGGCAGATTTCTTTACATTTGAGAAGAGGTCGCCCTTATATACAGATATTTCAATTAACGTTGTAGTATGGGTCATTTCACAACCAAGAAACTTTCCAACACGGTCATGAAGAAACTTATCTTTAATATAATCACAAACATAAACTTTTGTGAAATTATGTTGCATTCTCTGGCATTGCAAACCGCGGAGGTTTGTCCGAATTACAGAGAATGTACAGGAGCCACATTAACTTACGGTCTTATCGTGTGGGTTTGAGGCTATAATAGTTTCTGCCATTTGTAGGTTTTTGATCAATTTTTGTACCTTCTTGTCTTAACAGAGAGGAGCTGGACATCAGTAAAGACGACGAAGGAAAGTTTACTTCACGGTTTACTGTAACATTAGATATCACTGTGGATGCAGAGGAAGTTAAAAGTGCTACCCACACCTGGGACACTCTCAAAATCGACAAACTCTTCCCTCAAGTCTGTTTCTCCACCAAAGAAGAGTATCTTGAGTGTCAGGAGGAGTTTGGTACGTGTATGATCATATGTTACCGTTGTGGATCTATCTAAGGGTTGGGTCTGGGGTCACACGGTATCTGGCGAATTTTCGAAGCGTTCAATATTTTCGCCCTCTTCTCACGGAACTGACGAATCAGGTTGAATTCTAACTTCTATCAGTGGTTTTACCATCTGCCACTACGTGGAGTTCTTCTTTAACAAATATAAAATGATGTCTTCTAGGGGAGTTCTTTCCCACTCGTTCATGCAAGCACGTCTTTGCCGTACAAAAATTTAGACGGTCAAGGTGTTTAAACTATGCTGATAAAATTTACGACCGTACCGACTAAAAACTTGACCTCGATTTTTGCGTTCCAAGATCTGAAAAGCCAGGCGTCAAAATTTTCGGACGGTCAGTGAGGTTCTAAGTGAACGGATCACGTAAATGCACAACTTTTTAACTCCGTAGCCTTAGACCAAATCGAGATGAGTCAAGTTGATGCAGTCGTGAGGATTCTCGCCTCCTTTCACTGTAATCCGGTTTTGTTTCCCATAATTGAAGCGGATTATTATACGTTTCTCTGAAACTGGCCACCTACGCCTCCCCTAAGCCAACATAAAACACTTACTTCTCACTCAGGGCAAAATGTTGGCTTAGGGGAGGGGTAGGTGGGCAGTTTCCCAGAAACTTATAATAATTTGTTGAAGCCATGTTTGTTGAGTTCGTTATTGGTGTTCTCCTTTTTATCACAGTTAATGCAGACGATAGAGAATCAAACATGGTGTTTAACTGCAAGTCAAACGAAGTAGAGGAGGACGCAGAAGAAGTCACTCTACAGCCGTCCGAAAGCGCAGATTCCGACAGTTCCGATGGTGCATCAGCAAGCAAGCCAAACAAGGACTTTTTCTCAGCAATAAATTGGCAAGAAGCTAATGTCAGATCGTCAACAAACAAGGACTCCTTTGATGATAGTGATGACGACTTTGGGAACCTGCGCAGTGATGGGGATAATACCGCTGGGCAGGGATCATCGCAGGCTCACGATTTCTTCTCCGAGAGAGAAGGAGTGGAAACTAGTGCCCAGGGCGGAATGGACTTGTTTAATTTGAAATCGGCTTCTAGCGAGGGAATGGATGAACGCTTATTTAATTTTGAGGATAGCGATTCCGGTGAGGAAGAGCCGGTCATTAGCAAGAAAACTGTTAACGTGGACTTGTTGAATTTAGGAAGCAATATTAAAACGCAGCCAAATGATGACATTCATGGGGGCACCGTGAAAACTAATCATGTAGCGGTCACCGACGATATGGGAGTAGACCTGCTTAATTTATCTCCAGGTAAGATTGTCACACGCCGGCATATAGCATAGCTCGCTGCGTTTGGATTTCCGCCCCATTCTCCTCGCGGCTTAACCGCCCATTTGAGTGCTCGACAAACAAAATCGCCTGCTACGCAAGCTAGCATTGCTAAGTTTACCTGCCAACGTTTTCAACAAAGTGATAGATACCCTAAACCGCAGTTTACCTCTTCCTTCGGAACAATTTTCGCTGTCTTCTTTATGTTTTAAATCCAGATCGGTGTCCTCCTCTTCTTCCCCCCCCCTCCCCTCACACACACACACACACCCACACCCTTGGACAGTCGTCTTTAAAGTGGATAAGGGACGGACCATTAGAAAACTTATGGGGAGGGGGGGCGGGCGAAGTACAAAAAAAATATTCGCGCAAGGGAAAATTAAATGAAAAAAATTCATGCACGCCAATTAATCCTAAAAAATATTCATGCTATGGCCTGAAAAAAATTCATACAAGGAATTTGATAACGAAAAAACATTCCTGCGGCTCGAAAATTACCCCGCCCCCCCCATAACTTTTCTAATGGTCCGTCCCGAACTCAATCCTTTAGAGAAACAAAAACTTGTACCTAGATAAAGATGCCTTTAGTTATCTATTAAACGGTGAACCGTCTAGTAATTTGTGCTATCATTTTTTTAAAGAACGGACGCTGTGTGCAATTGTTCCTCTTTTCTCCAAATGCAAATTTCAAGTACAAATTTAATGTTACTACCTGGGCTTTTGTATTTAAAAGCCGCACCCCTTGGTTAAGACGTGCCTTTTCCTTAACCCCATGAAGAATGCCATAAAGACCCCCTCAAGAAATGGGTCTACCTCTAACGCTTTTTTGTGAGAAAACACTCGTCAATTTAAGAATTATCTGAAATCTATGTTTTCCTGTAAGGATTCCATTGAAATATAGGTTTTACCCCTCTTTGGTGAAAAAAGAAAACTCCAGAATTTTTTTAACTCTTTCCCCGAAGAACTCTACTAATTTTATGCCTTACGCGTTGAGAAATCCACCCGACCTCAAACCAAGGGGATGTGCATTATAGATACAAGAGACTAGTTTTGAGTTTTCTTTTTATGTTGTGTTCCCGTATGAAGGTGGAAGCAAGGACAGTCAAAACGTGGATCTTTTTAGCGGCACGGAGAAAAGCCATCACAGATCCATGAAACGAAATAAAAGCGCAGATGATGTGCTCAGTCCTGGCTTGCTCCACGATGAAGAGGAATTTTTCAGTCAGCTGGGAAGCCATAGTGCTAGCTCCAGTAGAGAGAATGTAACGTCTTTTATGTCGCCTAACGAAGATTCTGGAACGTTTGATCCTTTCCAAACCACAAGGACTAAATCTCCAGAAAATTCGAGCCTTGAATCTGGAGAGCCAGATTTGTTCGATCCGTTCAGCTCTAAACGCCGCGATGAGAAGTCGACGAACGAGTTTGACCCTTTTGCGGCAAAGAAGGTTGAGAGTAACTCATCTTTTGATCCTTTTGCGTCGAGTCAATCTGCGAGTGAAAATGATAGTTTCGATATCTTTGCAACACAAAAACGTGGAAGTAAAGCCCAATCGTTCGATCCTTTTGGTTCTCAGCCGGCGAAAATCAGTAGCAGTTCTGCTGGTTCAAAAAGCAATGAATCAAACTTTGACGCGTTTGATATGTTGGGAGGAACATCCACAACCGCTAGTGAAGATCTTTTTGGTGTAAGTAGTTCCCAGGCACGTACGGCCACAGTGCAGGGTCAAGCTAAAAGCAACGTGGACTTAATCGGAGGCTGGGGTGGTAGCTCGTCCGCGACATTTCTGCAACCCAATAGGGTACCATCGCCAAATCTGCCCAAAGCGACAAATGGCTCAATTCCGCAAAGCAAACCAAAGCCGAGCGATCCATTCGCGGACTTTGGCAATTTAAAGTCTGGTTTACCAACTTCTTCAACTGCGCCAAAATTCCCCTCAGCGGCTACGTCACCCAAACCGCAGAAGAAACCAGGGCCTGGTACTAGTGCCAACCCCTCTTGGTCTCGCCAGTCCCAGCAGCCCTCGTGGCAGACTGGGGCTAAATCTTCATCACCCGCGCCCAAGGCGCAAAGTAAGCCAAACTACGCACCTTCTTACACCATGTCAGGTTCTCATGGAGTGTTTGGCGACTACGGACAGAAGTGGAGCGGTGAGTGTTTAATAATCTATATTAACTTTTAAATTTTTAGATACAGTCCACCCTGTTCTTACATATATTTTACAATTACAGGTCACAATTTCATTCAGGTAAAAATTTTTAACCAAGTAGGTTGATTCTCAATTTTCGTTGTGCCCCTAACCCTAATTCATGAATAGCGATACCACGCTTACTCCACATATGGATATTAGAGTGCCAACCAGAAGCACGTTGGTTCATGAAACAAAAGATTCTCTTGTTTCACTCGCTACAAATTTTAACAACAAAAATTGACTCTGAAGATGACTCTGAAGATGACTACCGCGCAGGTTGTCGAAACGTCAGTCACTGTCAACAACAACAGTCCTATTCAGGGGTACGTTCACACGGACGATCAAACTCGACCTACTTTTGAAATGACTCCTGGGTTCAAACCTTTCACAACAAAAATAATGTTTGTAGATAGTGATGTCTCCTATAATTAGGGCTAAGAGATAAAGGAAACTGAGAATCAGCCTACCCGGAAGGTAAACAATTTTTACCTGAACTTAATTTTGACCTGTGACATATATATTAACTTCTATTTTAGGTTCAGTCTACATTGTCTTACAAACACCTGTTTGAACCGAGAAAATAAACTCTTCAGTTTGCTACTTCACTTCATGAAAATGAAAAAAAGATCGTTGTTAATAATGAAGACGTTCAAGTTTAAGCAGGAGAAGCTAGAGGGTACACTTCGCATGACAGGAAAAAATTAATGTTTGTTTTAAACATTCGCTTTGTTTTTTGTTTAGTTAATTAGTTTTCGATCCAAACAGCTAAGTAGGCGTTTTCAAGATGTAAGTTCTCATGGGAAATTATATTGTTTTATTTTTCAAGCGCCCAAAAAAGTTGGTAAAGACGAATTTAGTGACATTCTCAATGCACAAGGCTTTAAAACAACAGGGGATCAGGAAGGAGAAGCTCAGACGCTGAAGGCGTTGAAAAAGGAACAAAACAAACCTCTTGATCCAATTAGGGCCAAGGTAAAGTTCCCTTTGCTCATTTTTTTTCTTTTTGTAGTTATCATTTATTACGGAAACTGTGATTGTGGTGGCAGTAATTGTAATGTACGTAATTATGATTACCTAAACTCATCTGTCAAACAAGTCTAAGAAAATTGTAGCTAAGTCTCCGGACAAAATGTTGGAGGTTTAGAGGGGATGGGGATTTAAACCCTACCGTAAACCAGGATAGTGGAAGGCTCCAATTCCGGGAAAACACACAATGTCTTATGTTGAAATCCGTGCGCGTAACCCAAGCTGGCCTGCGAACGGCAGACGCATTTCCGGTCGTCGCTTCTCTCCCTCCGAAAAATAGCGACCGGAAATGTGTCTTCTGTGCGCGTAACCCCAAGCTGGCCAACCTCCAGTGTCGCATTGATGAGGGCTGCAGAGGTGGTGGAAAGCCAAGGATTTTAAGGTCTCGGTAAATGAAAATTTTAGTACATTGCTCGATTTTGTTTTTTTTGGATTTTTGGCATGAGTGGGTCCTAAATTTTATTTTGGCAGAAAAAGAAAATCAGAAAGTGCTTTTTAACCGTTCTAAAATGAGCCTTTTCTGCGCTAACCAGCCAAGCGTGGACCTCGCGCTAAATCTTTAGAGCTGATTTTCTCTCACTCTATTTTAGACGCAAAAATCAAAATTCTCCGACCTCCAGTCGGGACAGGTTTTAAGCTATCGCTTTGAAACTTTCAGATATGATGGATAATGATATAGACTCAAAAAGGGTGTGAGGAATTTCCGATTTCCCTTTGTAACTCATTTTATGTCAGTTTCTTCGCGTAAATCGCGCTCGAGATTCCACTTTTTAGTTTGAAATGCAATAATTCCGCTAATACGAGACATATGCAAATTTCCTCACACCCCTTTTTAGGTCTTTTATCTGTCAATCAGACGCAATAAAAAGGAAGTGAATATTTAACAACGCGAAAGGGCTGGAGCTTCAGCAGTAAACTCGATACCTCTGAGTTCGAGAGCAAAAAACTTAAGCGCCTTTTGAAATTCGATGAAATAAAATCTTTTATAAGGTAATTTAGTCTTTTAGCTTTAATTTGATATATAACTTGCCTTTGTAGCGAAAATACTCCCGCGACTAGAATTTTTTTCTGTGGGCACCTCGTTTTCCTTTACCGAGACCTTAACGGTGGTGACGAAAAAAATGATCAAGGTTGAGATAGTGATAATGATGTAGTAACGGTGATGACGATGATGGTTATGGTGATGCCTCCAGAAATTTTCGGTAACAAACAGGGAGCCACTGCCAAATTTAACCGAAAGCAAATTCCCAAATTTCACTTTGTGAAATTTTGAAAAACAAATAGGATCATGTGTAAGTAGGGGCAGAGAGCTTTCATTTGAATGGTCACATCATAGGATTTCATCCACAGACTCAAAAGTTACCTTACAAAACTCCATCAAGCACTCTGGCAGTGAAAGGGTTCAGTAAAGACAGACAGAGGTTTGCAAAGACAGACGAAGCAAAACCAAACAAAAGAGTCGAGTTAACACCTTCACAACTGGCGAGCAAAATAGCGAGAATCAAAAGAGATTGGATTCTCCAAACAAATGAAGATTACAACTTTTAACCCTATAAACCCCAAGATCAAAATTTGAATTCTCATTTGTTGCCTCTATTCATTTCCTACAGAAGTAGTGGGGAGAAGTTGATAAAGTATCAAGCAAATTCATCTCGTGTGATCATGTCCGTAATTCTCATGACCACTCTGTTTTAAAAAGCATTGATATTACAGGGAGAAGTTTGATGCTGATCACTCTTAGGGCTTAAAGGGTTAACGTGTGACTTTTTTGTTGAAAGGTGGATGAGTGGGCTGAGGGAAAGAGAGGTAACATTCGCGCCTTACTGTGCGGTTTACATCTCATTTTGTGGGATGGTGAAGAGAGATGGGAACCCTGTGGCATGCACAACCTGGTGAAACCCGCACAGGTAAGAGCCACGTGCTGGAGACTTCTGGCTCACGTGTTTAATCCTTATGACCAGCAGTAATTTGCGACCTCAATTGTCTATTACCGACTGTCGTTTATGACTATCCCTCACTAACATTTTAGAGGCAGTCTAAATCGTGCAAGGTGGTTCTTATCGTTAAGTGGGTGTCAAAAATCCTTAAATCTTTGGAGCAATTTGATGGCATTTTACCGCTTCTTCAAAGTAGTTACTAGTGAGTTATTTGTGAAACGATTTTTTACGTTTGTTCTTTAGGTGAAGAAATGGTACAGAAAAGCAGTACTCTCTGTTCACCCTGACAAGGTACTATAATCAGATAATGAGTTAGGTACCAAAAAAGCGTGACGGGATCACTTTTGGTACTTTGCGATTTTTCTTCCTTTTTAATTTTTTCCACGCCACTGAGTTTGAAACAAGAGAGTTAAAAGGGGCCCTTAATACTCACATGCTTAGAAAGCTTGAAAACTGTGTTAGTCAAAAGCTTCACTACTTATTGAACTAAAAGGCTTCAACACAATCACGACAAAACATTTTACAATTTTGTCGAAAGCAAGTAAGCGCCGTGTTCTAATCCGTGCGCGCTCTCTTTAGCTTGGAAACAAACTTCTGTTTGGGTGCCATAGGAGAAGGCAATGGCAAATCAACCATCAATACCTGGTTTCTAACGCATTTTATTTTATCGACTGAAAGTATTAGCATTTTGCTATTTGTTCTGGTCTGCTCCACTTGAGCATTTCGGCCGGCTTTCCGCCTTTCCTCTCCCCCCCCTGTACCCTTGCTGACTATAAATCTCTAGGGTTTCTACCCTATTCCCCCCCTACCCCGCCCCCTCCTCCACGTGAATCATTTTCTAATCGGTCTTGCTGCTTCTTTGCAGCTTACCGGCAGCCCAGAGGAGGCGTTAGCACGTGCAATTTTTATGGAGTTGAACGACGCTTGGGCAATATTTGAACAAGAAGGATCCCAAGCGTTATACTAGCGAATTATTTTCATGAATTTAGCACGATAAGTGTTGAAGTAAGGGATAGCGAGAGGGAGGGTCCAAGCAAGTGCGAAGCTAGTTTTCATTATGATATGATCAATAGAATTGCAAGCGGACGCAGTGTTTTAAGTTTACACCCTTGCAAACGCGCCCAGTTTTAATGGCCAACAACATTCAACATTAATGAGTCCCAACATTGCTGGCCAACCAAATTATGTCCATCCGATATTAACGCACCAATCATCGTTGGCAAGCAACTGCCAACATAAATGTAGCCATCTTTGTCCTCCAGGGACTTCCGACATTTACCAAAGTATAGGCATGAATATTACTTAGAAACTTCGTCTAACATTATTGGCCAGCAGTTTCAAAATTAATGCCCCCAACTTTGTTGGCAAACAACCGCCAACATTAAAGCATGTGCCCAACATTGCTGGGAAACAACCCGCCAATAATACAGGCAACATTGTTTGTAGGCAAAAGCCAATATTAATGCTCTCAACATTGTTTGCAAGCAAATATTAATATTAATGCGCTGGCATCATTCAACATAAATGGCTCGGCACTTCAACGCGTGGTTTGCAGTTGCCATCATAAATTATATGTACCAAACATCGCTGGCCACCAACTGCCATTATCAGTATGTCCAACATTAGAACTAGCCTAAAATTCGTTGGGCGTAGGTTGAAAATCTTCTAGTGTCAAAACCCGGCAGGCAGGTTTTCTGTTATGAACAGCAGCTAATGACTCAGAAATTATTTTGAAAGTTAGCTATGCTATATATTCTTTGAATGAAGGCAGGGGGAGGGAAATACTTGAATAGGCTCTGAAACAACCTTGGTGGGGGGGGGGGGGGCAAATGAACCAAGGGCAGAGCAGCCAATAACGAGGAGCTCTTTGGACAATTGACAAGAGACAATGGTCTCAAAGGCGCTTCTTAACATAATCACTGTGATCAACCACTGAGTTGAAAAATACCGAAAACAATGACAAACGTAACTGGTGGAAATTTCCAATGCAAAAGTTTCAATAGAATGAGAACTGAAGGGTTATCCCCGGTGTAATATAATTTATTCGTTTTCTTTGTCTCATAGACTACTGTCAGGGTTAGGTTCATTGTTAAGGATGTTTTGTTTTCTTTGTGTTACGTCAGCTGTGAGTAGTAAACTATATTACACCCGAGATCAGCCGAACTGAAGGAGGATAAACAAAGGCTTAGCTGTATGTTCAGTTGTTCTTTAATTCATATATGATTTTCAATGTTCCTGGAAGGTTCTTTATGATTTTAAGCAGTTGTACGTTCTTTACCCTTTCCGTAATTCAATGCGCACCACCTGCGATGAAGGACTGTCCAAAACCTTCATTTTAGCTCAGTAGGTAATTTTATGATGGGTGTCGTAACACCTTACATGTACTTTGAAAATTTGTTCGTTGGGTATAATATTTTTCTCAGATGAAAATAATGAAGGGGAATGGGAATTGTTTCACGTCACAATAATAAACTGCTGAAGAGTTTGAGGTTTACTGTGAATGGTGTATTGTAAATATTTAGTCACTGACGCAGTGCAACAACACGTATCTCTCTCTTAACCCTATTAGCCCCTATATCCACAAACAAATACTCCAGACTGATCTCCCCACATTTCCCTAACGAATTAATTGGGAGAATTTATTGGAAGATCAAAGTATTTTCCCTTGAGTGTTTATTTCGTTTATTCTCTTAACCTAATCTTTTCCTTTTACATTGAACTTGTTAGGAGAAAATTGAAGGGTAAATTGGACACCGCTGTTAATCGAACAGCAGCTCAGACGGAATGGCGGAACCATTTGATTTTCCAACTGGATTTTCCGGTTTTTCCATGTAAATGAAGTACCCTTGAGATGCTAACCATTTACAAAAACCCGTCAACCGGTTGGAAATCTCGTACATAAAAATTAACTAAATTTGAGCTTTGTGGGAGGACCCACAATGAGTATATCCAAATTACACTCTTGCAGGAGCCGATTACTTGTCCAAGTAATCGACTCCTGACTCTTGATATAAGAATGTTTTTTCGGGCCAGGCTGAATATTCCTATTTTTCTGCCGATTTTAGCCTGAAAATTTTCTTGTATTATTCTTGAATTATAATTGAAAAAAGAAAGAATTTATCATATCCTTTTAGCGGTTGGTTCATTTTTTTTCCTGTATACTATAGTTGTGTATTTCACGTACCGTTCATCGAACTGTCATTAGCACAGAACATTTGGCTGTAATCAGTGCAGGTTTCTTCTTTTTGTTGGGTATTTTTGCCGTGGGAGGAAGCAATAATTTGATACGGCTAAGTTAAAAGCATATTTTTAGATTTTCATCACTCAAAGTAATCATCCTTTTCGAAATCTCAGCCTCGCGTTTATTCTTAAAATTTTGCACATTTTAGCCTCGATAAAAGAAGAGTGTAGCTACAGAGACCAAAGGGACTGGAAAAATTGTGTCGCGTAAAATGATCGCTGAAACTTCTATAAGCTGACGCTTCTGTAGGGCATGAGATGTGTTCACACGTGGTGCCTGGGCATGGTGCCCGAGTACGCTACCCTCTGACTTTTAATGTGGACACACCCTTTTTTCAAGCACACACGCCATAATTCGTATATGTTCGAGTCCTTCCTTGTACCTGGAAATATAAAAGGAGACATCGGGTCCCTGTCTGCACAGGTTCTCTGTTAGTTCTGAACCAGTCTAGTGATTTGCATACCCATAAATCCATGCAACGCTAACGTTTGAAAATGGCGTCTGACCAAATATCCACAGAGTGGGCACAAGAAAAAAGGGGGCGCGAGGAGACAGGCGTGTCTCCCTCGCGCGTGCCCGTTCTCTCTTTCACCCACTACTTCCAAACGCCTGCTATGCTGGCTAGAGCCTGCGTGAAAATCAAATCAAGCGACGCGGGCTCGTCCTTTCTTTAACTCACGTGATCAGCCCATCATACATTCCCCTTTTTTGCTCGGGGACAAGGTCTAAATACCAGGTTACGTGGATTCCCCAAAAACTCCCCTTCAAAGAGAGGTTATGGTCGCGTTGGAGGCAATCAAAACACCTGTCGGTAATATCAACGATGAGAATTTTATTCATTTTTAACTATTTTCTCATAATTTGTACAAGGATGAAGTAAACGGAACAAGAACTAAACATTTTCGCAGTTCAACTCAACAAATGAAGAAAACAAAACGGTTCCTTCCGAACTCCCTCTAGTAAAAGGTTCGCAACAATGTCCACCATTCTTTTTAAACTGAGGTCCATGACGACCAAGACGAAGTGCCTGTTAATTCGCCGCCGTATCTCCAGGACACATAACGTGAATAAAACATTGTGGTTACTACCGTTGTGTTACCTCCAGTAAGAAATGGCCATTGAGCCGTCCTCTTATGGCAAGGACTGGAACAAGTTTTTTTCAGCGGAAACTGGTCGGTCACTGTCAAAACACCTTCGAGAAGTTTCGGAACCTGACAACGTGTTTCCGGTCCTGGTCATTCACCAAGACCACGGGGGCTGTACAGGTCCACTAAACCAAAACTTTCGAATGGAATAGAAATTTCCCGGAGAGGTTTTAGAAACTGTTGAATTTGCGAAATGCGAACCAATCAAGGGAAAATTCTTGAAATTCCGGGAGAAAAGTTGAATGGAAAGAAAACTTCCAGGAAAACATTTCCGACAATTTGGGTAAACCTGGCGAGGCTGCTCTCTTTTTTGGAAATTTTAGAAAATGTTGTTACATTCGCTACTGGAAGTTGCCGAAAATTCAAATGGAAAACGCCCCATAATGCACCTTGTTTAACTCCCAAAATTTTACATAACCATCGTTTCCCCTGGGTATTATAGTCGTCCCAAGCGAAATCGAAGACAATAGTTATGCAAAATTTTGGGGTGTAAACAAGGTTCATTATGGTCTAGGTGAAAATGTGAATTGACTGAATGAGACGCCAGTCAACCGCTTGGAGACAAGACAACACAGGAGCGACAAACGGTTTTGCTGTTTCCTGTAAGGTTTGTTGAGCTTTAATACTGGAGTATGAGAGAGATGTTTATCGTATTGTAAATTGTAAAATTGTTGCTATATTCTCTGTAATTCTTTCGGTTGAATCCCTCTTGCACTTGGAAATTAGTTCGGTATTGTTTCAATCAGTTACGAGTTTCACTGACGCGTATACTTTTGTTCTATATTTCATTTCACTTCTTAAAAAACATTTCAGCAATATGCATCATCTAAGCGAGAGAGGCGGAAAAGATCGCTAATTTTCCAAGAAATTGATCCAATCCTCCTTAATGGCGGTCTGAGCCAAATGAAGCTTTATGCATCCAGGCATGCATCTCACCAAGTATTCACCAAAATGGAACCACATTCTGGTGGATTTTATCAACATCATGGGTCGAATTTAATAATTGAACTGATAAATCCATGACAGATTGGAACTCATACTCCAACATGAATGCAGTCTCTCTCGTTACTTTCGATGGGTGCGGGAGGGCCGTTTGTATCCCACCTCAGCGCGCAGAGATGTGTATAAATTGTACTAAAACGTGGCCTACTAGGCGGCAAAATATCCCAGCATTCTGTCATTAAAACGAAGACACTGTTCGGACAGTCGCTCGGGCAAGGAAGCAACACGTGTTCTCGGATACGTTCCATAACTTCGTCGTCCGTGAACCCAAAATGGGGCTTGGTACCAAATGAAAATATCTCCCATAGCACCACTCCGAAGGACCATATATCAGTCTCTACTGTGAACCTATAATTTAGCACCCCCTCCGGTGCCATCCAACGGAGGGGCATAGGGGGTCTATTAGCAGAACGATAATAGTCGCTTGAAAAAGGATTACGCGATAACGCAACGTCCGTTATTTTCACGGTCATACGAGGCCCGACCATACAGTTGCGAGCTGCCAAGTCCCCGTGAATGTAATTGTGCTGCGAGATGTAGTTCATTCCCGCAGCTACTTGAATAGCAATCGATAACTGCTCGTAGTAGCTCAAAGTTTCCGGATCATCGTCGTCCTCATCCGGGCTCTCTAAAGGAGAGTTATCGACAAGATACTCATACAACGAGCCGTATTCAACGCACTCGTAAAGTATACAAGTCGGGGGCCCGTTATAACAAACTCCGATAATACTGATGACATTCGGGTGGCTAAACTTGGACCAAGTCTCCGCCTGACGCAAGAAGCTCTCACGGTTATTTGAGGACGAGCTACTGCGAAGAATTTTGGCGAGAATGGGTCGAGTCGTTTGTTCACCATCACCTTTTTCCACTACTTCCCCTCGGTAGAGTTTGCCAAATTCTCCTTCTCCTAAATCTTTTAGGAATCTGACTGTCTCACGCCGCATCTCTTTGATCTGGAAAGAAAAACCAAAAAGCCTTAGTCGGGTATTCGTCATGAGAGATGGAGCCAAAATTAACTGAAAATCACTGGAAATAAATAACCATAACGTAAATACGACCACTGCGAAGCGCGAAAAACGACTATAACCAAGCGCGGGAAAGAAATACAGCCAGTCGCGGCCAAGAAGGCTTTCCAATTTTCTTCCGAATTCAGTTCTTGAGATTTGGAGGGATTTGGGTGAGCATTTTCAAGGTTTTATGTTTGTTTGTTACAACGGGTGAAACGCTTGAAACATCAAAAGGATCTTGAAGGCTTTGTTTGCAAAGTTTTGATGCTTCCTTGCCATATCGGTCAGCAGTTTTACCTTCATTCCTGGCATCTCTGTCAGTTCAAGATGGCGGCCTCGTAACCTGTGGCTCACCACAGGTTACCCAGTCTTTTCAATATTACAGGATTTTTAGACTGATTTTTAGGAGTTTTTGTGGGATTTTTAGAAGTGAAACTGGAAATATTTTTAAGAAATCCAGGAAGGGTTTTTTAGGCCATTTTTCCGGATTTTTATGGCTAAGCCTCTTTGGAAGCAACTAAAGCCAGTCGCGGTAAACAACTGGGCCAAGCTCGAAAAATTCCAAGAAAACTCACCAAAGGCTTGCCAATAACAGGAACAAGAGGAGTAGCAGCCGCTTCTCCGGCCTGATATATAATCTGTTTATGACATCTCCAGCAGATGAAAATCACCACCAGAGAAAACACAATACCAAACACCAGACATGGAATGACCATGTAAAGAATGCTCACAACTTCAACTGGCGGCGTCTCCTCTGTGGAGTTACAAAAAAGATTTTTATTGCTTAATAGGTAAGTGGCAAGAGTTTTTACCTCGCAGCACGCTGTTAGTCATTGGCAACTTCAATCAAGTACGACTTATGTCTTCTTGTTTTGTAACGCTCCCTCTTTTGGGGGAGCGTTGGGTGACATCCAAAACACGGCTGCGAGGTCAGGGAGACTACGGGGGGTGGGGGAACCTGCCTAATTGCCATTTTTACGTTTTCCCGCAGGTATTTCACTACTTTTCAGCGCGGAATTCATTTCTCTTGTGTTGTGTTTTAACTACGTCCATTTCAGTGCTTCCAGGTCGCAAAAAATCCTTGTACAGATTTCTTAGGACAACTTTATTATGACCGGCGTGTTTTTTTTAAGCAGTAGTTCGGCTCGATCCACTTTCGTTGCTATTAATACAAGAAGGCAAAACGCTTCTTTTCCTGTAATGTAGTGAAACAACGTCAAGATCTTTTTAAAAAGGGGACGGACAGATTTAGCTTACCACAACGTGGAATATTACAGTAGTCGAACTCCGTGTTCTCGTCCGTTGTAAAACACCAGGGTTTTACTTTCTGTCCACCAGGATTCCTACAATAATTATGTCCACCGCCAATTTCAGGATGATCCTTAGGCGACAGAATGTGGAAATGAGGTGTGGTCGAGTTCCATGCCTGACATACAAGGCCCTTCTCAGTCACGCTCACGCTTGCATTGAAGTTCTGTCCTGTCCCAGTGTAACATCCAGTCACTGGTAAAGCTAAGGATTAAGTGAAAAGGACATGAGCACGACTACAGAAATAGCCATATACTTGAATCCACTTAATATGGACTCTAAAGGAACATGAATATGGACTCTAAAGGAACGTGACGAAGTGTCATGTCGGCCGCAATGTTAAACTGCGATCAGGCGGTCTTTTTTCCCTTTTAGTTTTTCGCGCTATCCCCGCAAAAAGAAAGCCTGATCGCAGGTTACCGCACTGTCTGGATTTCGATGTTAACTGTCTCTCAGAATTAACGCCATTGACACGTGATTTATCAACAAAAGACTAAAAGCACATAGCCTGCGGTTGCTGTGCTGGCTTACAACAACAGAGCGATGTATGATGTCTTAAGCTCGACAAACTAAATAAACCTGCGCTCGTTCAAATAGCTTCGCACGAAGTCTCAAAAAATTTCAAAAGCGACAATGCACACACTTAGAAATAGTCCATGACATTGTTTTGCATTGTCAAGTCAGTTTGCGGTTCAGCCAAACGGATCAAAACAGTTGAAATAATATTGGCCTATTCTTTTAAGTTCTCAGTGGAAGGATGTATAGAGTGCGCAGATCTCCATTATCCGTTAAGCCGCGATAACACGGGCCCCTAACCTTTTTCGAGAGCAAGTTAGCGAGTTAACCCTTTAAACACTAAGATCAAAATTGAAATTCTCATTTGTTGCCCCTATTCATTTCCTACGGAAGTAGTGGGGAGAAGTTGATAACATATCAAGCAAATTCATCTTGTGTGATCATGTCTGTAATTCTCATGACCACTCTGTTTCACAAAGCATCGATATTACAAGGGGAAATTTGACGATGATCACTCTTAGGGCTTAAACGGTTAAACGCGCGAGGACGCTGAATCTCGCCAATGTGCTCCCCATGCAGGTATTCGCTTTAAGGGATTTAACAAACAAGAACATGCAAAATAAGAGAATTTTCAAGAGTGGCACTTACCTTTTTCTCTCCTAACTGCGCCTTTTTCGAGAGCTGGTTTTCCAGGTTTTGGAGGCTTCGGGCTCTTTGGACTCTTCGGGTTCTTCGGGCTCTTCGTAGTCTTGGTTTTATTCACGTTCAATTTTATACAATTCTTGCCTTCCGCCGTATCCGCGCGAGGCAACGATGAACATTCTGGAAACAGAACCTGCTGCAGCGTAAACCTTTTTGAAATAAGATACTCCTCTGGGCAGATACTTGTACGAAGAATTTCGCACTCCTCATAACATATCTGCCTTGGCTTCGGAACAGATGATGAGGAGTCGCAGCTTGGGAACTGGTAATGACATAGGAGCGGCTTGACAAAAGGACGACACCTTACGCTGATTTTCTCAAATTCCCGTATGTTTGGATAAGCCCTGCTGACTTTTCTTTCTATATTTTCCAGTCTCTCAAAACTTCTTACATAGATAGAGCGCCCTTTTAGAAGGTTGTAGCATACAGAGCCATTGTATGGGACACAGCTTCCAGTCTCTGGTAGTGACGAAGGTGTTGGAATATCCCTGGAGACAAAGAAAAGACGAAATTTTAAAAGTTAATAGAAAGGTTAAGCAACTCATTCATCCGGCAAAAAACAGCTTCTCTCGCCCCATGAAAGGTAATCTGGATTCCGAATATTTTTCCTTCTGGAATCTGGAATCCCGCAAACGATTGGAATCCCAAATCCAAATTCCACTGAAAAAGAATCCAGAATCCAGTACCATGAATCCGGAATCTACAACCCGGAATCCAGAATCCGACACTTTTTTGGATTCTATTACTAGAGGAAGTCTCATACAGAGCAGATTTTAGTGTTGTCACGCAACCCTCCACGTTTGCGGGGTGGAGCGTTGCGTGACGACACGAACAACGGCTGCGTAGCAGACTATACCAGAGGCGGCTTCTCGCAAATAAAGTAAAACCAAAACAAAGAGTCGAAAGTCACTTGCATGCAACACTGGCTACATGTGCTTCCCAAATTTCTCACTGGTTTGTTGTTGGAATTTCTTTTGGTTCTACTTTCCTGTTGTTTCCGATGAAAGAAGCCAGGGGAAAGTCTCCATCCCTGGGCCCTTAGTAACAGCCCTGATATTTAGAGCCAACTTACAGATCGCTGTGTGTAGATTCTTCCCACTGTCCATGCTTAGGTTTACTGTCTGGAGGATTGGACTGTTTCGAATTATCAGGCAACAGTTCTGAAATGAGGCGAAAACTGTTAACTGACAGAATTAGAGTCAGCCCCAAATTTCCACTAAATCTTACTGGGTCTACGGTTTCAGTGCAAATCAAATTTATTGCAACTTATAATATATTGCTCCCACTGCCCTATCCAATTAACACAGGATCAACATTTGGTTTTAAGTGAGCCTTGATGTCTCTTTAAAGGGGTGATGAATGGTCCATTTTTTTAACTGTTTTTACCTTTGTGAGCCTTTAAACGATGCTCACTTGTTTTTTATTTCTGCTCTAAAGCAAAAAAATCAGGTTGGCTTCACGTTAAAAAGACCAACAGGTCTTTCTAAGCTTGTTGTTTTTTGTTGTTGTTGTTGTTGTTCAATGGTTTGTTTGTTTTTTTAACATGTTATTATTTTTTCCTTGGTCTTGTCCGTTCAGTATTAATCCTTGGCTTTCATTTAATTTACCTTTATTTCCTTGCTTCATATTTTATAATAATTAATCACAAAATATTAGAATAGCAGGGTACAAAGAAAGTCATTGTTACAGCTTGTCATTCGGGCAAGCTAAAGCTAGCATTTTACCAGCACAAACATCATTTCAAGTAGCGCTCAAAATTTTTTGATGAGCAGATTGATTTTACAGCTCTTCTGTCACCTGAATAATTATTCCTCAAAATACTTCACTTCCCCATCAGGCAAGTTAAGAACAGAATTCACTAGCCTGATAGCAAAATCCACTAGCCCGGGGCTATCGGACACAACTTTCTTTGCAGGCTGAATAGCAAAATAAAAGAAGACATTTTTATGTACCTTGATCTGTAAATGGTGTCAAAGTAGTCGGACTTGAAAGTGCCGTAAGAGGAGGAGAGGTTGCTTCTAGGATCAAAAACAATGGAAGTATGTTAGTGCAATTAAAACAACCATATTGTTGTGGGTGACCAGAGGAGCCTGCAATCCTAATCTACAGGCCCCAAATCACTGTCCAGTGGATAAGTATTAGGAGAACCAATTGCGCTATGCACTAGATAGTGATTTATCCCCTGAATAGCGTTATCCAGCTTTTGAACAACTGGGGCCAGGCTGCTATCGTGCATGTGTGCTCCTGTACATGTCACGGAAAACCTGTAAAAAGTCATGAAATTTTACAATATTATTTTCCAGGCCTGAAAAGTCATGGAATTTAATTGTCAGTCCTGGACTTGGCCTGCCACAAAGCGTGATTATTTTTTTAAGCTTGTTTGCACCCTCTATCATTAGGTAATCCGATGACCTGCGTACTGTCCTCCTAACACAAAGCACAGTGTTGAAACGAGCATTTTGACCTGCAATCCATCTTGCCTTCACTCCCTAACCTTTAATTATTACTAGTTCAGCTCAGAGGCTAAGCAGGAAGGGGGAGAGAGGAGGGGCTAGCCTGCAAATACCATAATCTCTCTTTGCTTCAAGCCCCTAAGGACATTTCACAGAAGAGACGTTTCCCCATGAGAGGGCAGGCAGTAATAATATTGTGATTGCATAGGTCTCTATTAAAGAATACAATCATACCAGTTACAGTCAAGAAAACCTGCTTGCTCACTGTCCCTTCTGAATTATTTGCCACACAACTGTATGCTCCCTCATCACTTAGTTTCACGGGACGAATCTTCAGTTTTACACCCCAGCTCCTACAATGCCAAATAAAAAATATAATTTGTTGAGCATACAATGCCAACACAAAATATCACTCCTTGAATGTAGGAAATGTAATTTACACCATTGAAGTTAAACTCCAAACAGTTCTACAGCTGGTGGTTTCAATATATTTGTAGCAGCTCAATGTCTGCTGGGGATCCCGGGTAAGTTGAAGGGCCTGAAGTACTTTTCACAGTGATCAAGTTGCTAATAAATTCATTGAGCAATTAAGCATGTTTCGCATCTAAGCCACCGTTTGCTGATTTATTCCTAGCCCTCCTTCGTTTTCAGGTAGGTGTTTACAGTCTATGTTTTATTTCCAGTAATCTATTTGGTCGCCGCTCACTGGCTGCCATGAATACAATAGCTTAAGTATCTTACGCACTTAGCACCACCACCCTTAAAGGGCACCTACATCCAACCTCACCTAATTGCCGATGAGTTCAATCAAAGATAAAGGTCACAAAATAAGAAAAAGATCAGCAAGCAAACCTCCAAGTTGTGACCATTTTGGTCGCCATGGAGTGTAAAATTTTTCAGAGCTGGCATTACTTGACCTGTGAAAAAGTCTCCCTACTGAAAGACTGAAATAGTTGGTTGCCAAATGGCGATTGAGCAAAAACGTAAACTTGAAGGGCTGGCATGTAAAAAGGGTCTTGACTGTCATACTACAAATTCTCCTTACCGGTATCACTGCAGGACTGTGCTCTAGCAGAGCCTGGTGGTCTGTCGCCAAACTTTTGCTCTCAGCTGACCAGAAAATCTTAGTTTTTTCATACAAATCATATGCTGGGTACCCTAGATTTTTAAGTTTCAGAGCACTAGGCTCCCTTCAATATTTATTGTGATTAGAACACAGCCTTGCACAGGAAATGTAAAGAGATCAAGGTGTGGAGAAATCACTTACTTTGACACAATAGTAAATGATCCACTTCTATTTCTGATTGGCTTTCCATTCCTGTACCACGTTACATTTGGTTCCGGCTTGCCACTCACATAACACCTAAACACTGCCCTGCCACCCTCCATCACAGTTTGATTGGAGAGCTGTGAGCCAACCACTGGTGCTGTTAAGATAAAGAGTACCGTTATACAGCGATCCATATTCCCAGTCGTCCCAGGCAACTACAATCTCGTACAGACAATTAAGATAACTTCAAGTCACCCTTCGGACGAGTGAGGTTTTGCTTCACCACAGAATCTTTTCAAAAACTCCTATATGATATAAACATTTTCCCTGTGTTCTGATTTCTTCTCATCCACTTAAAACTTTTAGAATAATGGTGAATAACAAGCAGCTTTTGTCTGCAATGAAATCATAAGTTTGGGCACCATTGCAGTGGCTACTTGTAAAATGTAGTTGTGTTTAGCCTAAGCCTGTAGCCTGTTGTACTTAACAGTTAACCCTTCTTAGTAACTATAATGGAAACAAAATGCTAATCAAAAATGTTCAATTTGCACACAATTTCTTCACCATTCTTTTATATAATTCTGCACTTTTGTCTGGGCAACCCAAATTGTAACCAGGCCAGTATGCCATCAGGTTTACTTGCCCAGCTGACAACTCCAAGAAAAAATGAATATGGATCCCTGATTATAATATGCTTTCACTGCAGAAAATTGATACTGTATTGGGAGGCAATGTGTAATCTAAATGTAGTTTCAGCTTCCAGCAAGTGGTCAAAATGTCACAACAAAATTAATACTGTAATGGCAGACCCAATGTAATCTGATGTAGTTTCAGCTTAGAGTGTGTTGTCAAAATTCCACAACAATGAAAACATTTTTTTGCCAAGTCTTAAGTTGTCTCGAATATATGGCGAAAAGGTCAAAATTTACTTATTTACATTTAAGAAGAATTCGACAAATTATACTGAGCACCAAAAACAAAAGCAATGTCAAAGAGGTTACAGATAAACAGAAAATCCATAGGACTTTATCTACAGACTAGAGAAGAGATTTGTTTTTGTCTTTTTTAAAAAAATGACATACAAATCATGTGAAGTCTTCCTGAAAGTTCTAAAAATGCAAACCATAATAATTCTTCTTACTGTCACAAAAATGTTTATTGTTATGTAAATCCCAACAATAATGGGAACACGTGAACAAGCCACCAAACTAATCACGTTTAGTTATCTCATGTGACTGGCTTTTCCCTCTTGCAACACAACACATTCCACAAACATTTTTTGCCTTCATGGTTTCCTGAATTTCACAGTAACAGCCAAGTAAACAATAACTGGTCTATTAGAAAGGTAACTGTTAAAGCTCTCATCCTTTGGGAAAGGTACAGGCATACACTTTTTGCCTCCTAGCTAGTAGCAAGGCCACATAGCCAGGGCTCAGTTATCAAAAAATACCAAACAAACAATATTACAAGGAACGAAAGACAACAAAACAAAAAAGAATATATACAGTAATCTACATACCTTTGCAATCTGGGCAAGTCTTGGTGTGATTAGAGCTGGAAGAAACAAAGATACATAACTGAAATATTTGATTTAAAGGAAGTGGTCAACTATTTTACACAGAAATTACCCACCATACCTCCCTTCCCTACCATAAAACCAGCTGGCGGTCAATAAGATTTCAACTTAACCCTTTCGCTGCCAGAGTGAATGTTGGAGTCCCTTAAGGGAATTCAAACTTTGAGTCCATGGACAAAATCCTATGATGTGACCATTCAAATGAAACCTCTCCGCCTGTGCTCTCAAATGGTGCTATTTGTTTCCAAAATTTACAAAACAAAATTTGGGAATTTTTGGTGAATTTTGCCCATGGCAACACTTGGCACTGAAAGGGTTAATGGGTATAGTATATGAATAAGTACAGTCGTCGACTCCTGATAATTCGAACATTCAAGGGAAATAGAAAAAAGTTTGAGTTATCGGGAGTTTGAGTTATAGAAGGTAGAATTTTATACAACATAAAAGAATAAGTGAGCTTCGCAATGATGCACTTTACACATTTAGTAATTTTTTTCTGGCAAATTTATTGTGAACACACATAGTAGCACTTAAAGAAGGTAAAACACAATTTCCAAAAGGTCACTAACAAGATTTACTGGTCATGCTCCTAATTTGCTAGAGGTTTTCAGAGTACAAAATTCAGTATTATTTGCTTATGATTTAACCCAAACATTCTCTATCAGTTTTGTAATGGCTGCACTGTCAATCATCACGAAATTGTAAGCTGCTACATAGAGTATCGATCTCCTGAATTGTTTTGCCAAAGCCCATAAAATGTTTATTGGTGTCTCTGTGAGCCGTCATGGTAAACTGTTAGCAAAATTGCAGCAGTCAGTCATAACTCTTATATTGGCCCTGAAAGTTTCCCTTTCTTTATTAGAAAAAAAAAAGAGACTTTACAAGCTTTCAAAAATGAAAATGCAACTTTTGAAGGAACGTCTTGATAACCATACTAAATGGTCGCAAGGAAGGAGTTTTTCCCGCTAAATACCGTTTTCGTGCCGAAAAGGTTAAAAACACTGCATGGAGCATTGGAAAAAGCTCACCAGGAAACGGACCAATACCTTTCACATAAATGCTGACGTATTAGGATTGAGTCTCAGACAAAACAATACACCACCTTATGCAAGAGAAAGAACAGCATAATATAGTCCAGTTCGTTCTCATAAATCAATTTTTTGACTAAAAAGATCGCTATAAGCGCGCTCCCTGAGACATACATATTTCCAATATCGTCATTAAGACTACAATAAAGTAAAACACTTGCATTCCGTGAATATTGAAAACAAGCGCGAAGATCAAAATAAAACCCAACTGATACTGAAACAGCAGGGAGCAGGATTTGGTTGATCCAAGTCCAAAGGGAAATTTATCAGTGTCACGAGAATTCATTTACGATTCTTTCATTGCATTTTAATTGACAGGAAGAACGCGGTCGCAAATCTAACACGGGTCAAACGATGTACTAGAAGACTATCACAGACGTTTGTTATATTGTGCTTTTAATGTAGCGATTCAAAACATGACCATCGTTCTTACTTCCTTCCCAACACCGCTAATATCGCCTTGAAAAGGAAGAATCCACTTGAGCTAAATCGAAAGCCAGGGTTTCGGAGGCAAATTTCTAGAACGCGAACGACAAATCGACGATAATGGGAGAAGAAACTAACACATGCAAATTTCTTCTACGGAACGACTTATACGTTAATTTTTGTCTTTGTTCTTCACATTTACACTTCAAAGAAGAACAATGAGGTCTTCCGTGCGGCACATTCTAAAACAAACTATTCAATGAATCAGGGCTAGAATCAAACAATGCGTACCAGCCGCTAAGGCTCAATATTTTAAACACACAACGACTGATCAATGTCTATTCAAGTGAAATACTCATTTTAGTCACTTTCTGACCCTCTAATTTACCGAGGTCAAAGCCAAATGGAAAATGTGTATTCGGCGGATTATCCTTTGGCGATTATAGGAAAATGAAGAATACAGATTCTGTCTGTCAATTACAACAATGCGAAATGAACAAATGTGAGAACATTGCGTCGGAGAGCGTTTACTTCCTTCGCTCTGCGAATGGAAAATATCACTTCGCTCTTAAGTTATCTAAAATTTCAAGCATACCGTCTGAAATTTTTCAATCATTGGATGTTCGCAGCTGGTCTCAAGCGATTTTTTTTAGACGCTATTAGTTTTCAAAAGCTTTGCCGCTTTTCGCTGCACGACAGAAAGAAATGCGATCGCGAGAACCCGACCAAAGGGAAGCAAATTAATAAAAGTTTCATTCACTATAGACATTTCAATGGAAGAATACAATTGGCACGATTACCGATAGCATCTGCTCGCCTTTTCGAAAGCGTGTTCAACGTACTTTTGTCGCCAAATCTTGTTTTACACAAAGCGAAAATTTGCATGGAACCCACATCCCATGTCAAGTCTAATTATTTCTTACATTAAACAAGCAAACACACAGCTAATATAAAAACAAAACAACGCTTTGCACTCCGAAGAACTTACCTAGGAGAATCGACCAACCTTTTGTGCCGGAATCCAGATAGTAAGCTACCTGGAAATCAAAAAAATGAAAGGCGATTTGATCAGTATGGACATTGATCGGAAAAGCAGATGTCTGCCGTTGTTGGTGGTGCAAAGAGAATTGATCGCGATTTTGCGACGCGATAAACAAAGCAATATGACTTCTTGTAACACCACTATACTCTAAATCCTTTCAACTAAACACACGCTCAAGGACGGAAGACTGACTTTCCGAAGCAGCAACGCAGTATTCTAGGGAAAAGGTGCTGAAATATTCATGCTACCGTAATTGCATTGTAAATTGACGAACGCACAAAATCAAACAAACATCTTTCGCGATTCCTACAACGTTGTGTACTGTACTCAAAATCCGATCTCACTCACCGGACAAAATCCACAAGTATATGAGCCAAAACAGAGTTCTCCCCGATCTAACGCCCATCTCAAGGTATCTTCAAAGCTTGGCCATTATAATTGCGAGCGTATAAGCAGAACAAACCCTCGTCCACCGTGCTCTCGGAAAACAAAAGATCTGCATGTGATCTTTGGAGGAGCGCGGATAGTGATTATTATGGGATTAGCGGTAGCTACTGAAAACATGTCCGATGTTGATAGACATCAGGGTCAAATTCGCCATGTCAGTCTTCCATTTATTGGCTACTTTGACAAATAAGAAGACAAAGCCAAAATTTTCCGTTCATTTACATTAAAATATTTTGTCTATTTACTCCATTAGCGCTGCCATCCATTTTGTTTTCGTTTCCTGCCTTCTTTTTATCTTCGGGGTCAACATCACGAATAAAAGAACTAAAAGAAGCCTATCCAAGCTTTCAGCTCTCTTCTCCTGTTGGCATAGAAACTCTCCATCTGTCAGCGCCGTCAGAGTTTATGTCAAACACGCGAAAATTGTCGGAAAATTTCCTGACAACTTTGAAAAGAAGGGAAATTGTGATTAACGATACGTCACAAAATAATGTAAAAGAGACGATGTGTTTCGGTGCAAGCTATTCTCCTCAACGAAGTTTGCTACAGGTAAAATGGGTTTGCTTTGACGAAACTTGACGATTTTTGAATGACAGTTTTCGTAAAAGGCTTATTGAAAGGTGAGACAAAAAACGTTCAAAAACAAACTTTGAAGAACATTTTTTAATTAGCAGCGTGAAAAATTCCTTTTCGGCGTGGCAGAGCTAAATTTTGGAACGCCTTCGCCCGGGGTGAGAATTTGGATTGACTACTAATCGTGTTATGTTTATCTTTTCAGAACGCAAAAAGTGGGCTTTGCTATGACTCCGTCTGCACTTGAGCGATGCATTTTTGCAAACAAAAAAAAAGCGTGTTAAAAGGCTGCTTTGCATGACAACTTACTCAAGATAACGACTTTACCCTGGGGCTCTGCTCTGTGACCCTCTTTCAAGTTTCCGAAATTTTGGTCTGGAGTGTATCGTTTCCTAAAACAAGTGTCGTCGCGAGAACCATGCGATTGATTTCAAATTATAACTCGGCGCCTGAAAGTCTGTGTTAGGATTCTCTGATCTCTTCAGCTCGAGAAAATATCTTTGTACTTTTTTAAAGGAACACTCGACAAAAGAAAGTCAGGAACTTCCTGAGCCACATCCGGATAAATCACAAAAAATAACATCTTCGGCTTTAGATAATTTACGTAAACTTGTAATCTCTGAATCGAATTTTTATAACCGCCATTAAAAAGAGTTATTTCCACTCATCTCAACCTCAAATAACACAATAGTTTCACTAATGTTTATTATCATAACGTTCCATATTCTTCTTCGCCAGAACTTTAGCTTTAAAGCAAAATTCGCCAGCGAGCCAAGTCTTTCGAAAGAAACTATTTTTAAAAGGGTCGCCATCCACTTTTAACTTTTACCGCAAATTGGGTTACTCATTGTGGCCTTAATTCTTATCGCATATCGCATTGTAAGTAATGTCACACCCTATTTCTAGACCGGCTTAAAAGACTTAAAAACCAAGTCCCCTCCCCACCGCACAAAAAAACACTGTCCTGCCATGTCTTGTTTGATAGATTCTTCAAGCGAAAGAGAAAAAACGGGTTTCAAGATCCGAGTACTGAAACCGCCTCCCGCTAAATTTCCCAGCAGGGCCGGATACGCTTTTCCTAACACCATTCCTTACAGAGCCCTTATCAAATTATAATTTCTCTTCTTCTTCATAATCATATTTAATTTTGTAATCTCTCGTCATGGAAAATAAGGTTTGACATAACGAATTCCAAGTTTAACTTCCATTATTGTTCCAAAACTGCGTTACTTGCAGCTTCACTTGTTTATTTTTCCCTGTCCTTGTCATATGACTTTGCAGCGACAATTTTCTCCTCGTGTATCATTAAAACATAACCTAATGTCATTAATTTTCCTGGCAGTCACTCCTTTGAAAAAACATAATTCGTAATAGCATATAGTTCTCGTGACAAGCAATTTCCCTTGTTTTTCTTTTTTTTCTCATTTTGCCGTTCGTTAGTGCTTTGGAACATCAAATATTTATCTTCATGCACCTGTTCTCTGCTTATTTGTACGGAGCATAAAAGAGATGTCATGTTACGAGATTGACCCAAGATAATATGTATTAACGGGTTAAGAAAATTCAACATTCTTCTGATCGAAGAAGGAAAGAAATCGAAAGTTCTCTGAACCAGCTGAAGCGTCTTTTAAAACTCTTTAAGAGTGGCTAGTCAGGAGCGCCCAACGGGAAATTTTGAGAAAAAGACCTAAAAACAACAACAAAGAATGAATAAAGCTTTCTGAAGCCATTTAAGCATTTTGGGAGAATGCTGGGAAAAACGTATCTGTTCCTCACTCCTCGCACGACTGATGGAAGAGTTCCCAGCCTGCAAGATGCACCTACAACCTGCAACCTGAGTTTCCCAGCAGACATGTCCAGACACTACTGACAAATTTCAGCCCTTCAGTGGCGGGGGGTGGGGGGGATTACTGAGACAGAGCACATACCAGAATAAAATCAATAAAATAGAATAGACTAAGTCTTTATTTGACGCCTTAAAATCCATCAGGAGTATAAAAAAGTTTCTTGAATAAACCTAACTACCCTAAACTGAATATGCAAGACTATTTACAACTAACCAAACTAAGACCTGTTTTTCATGAATGCCGTGTACACAGTACTTAAAAAGTTAGAAATTCAGATAAGCCAGTCGTTTAAATTGACTTAAAGATTTATCTTCTCTCATATCACGGGGCAGACTGTTCCAGATAACTGCTCCGCTATAACTGAAGCTGTTCTTCGACTTCTTCATGAAGTTAGTTCGCGGGAACGGGAGTTTGTTAACACGGCCTTAAGGAGTAGCGCGTTCCACATCGTTTAACAAATTTAGAGGATAAATATCCTGGAACAAGATCATTTAAAGACTTGTAAATCATTAGGACTTTTTGTATTTGAAACTGAGTGCTCAAGTCTTTCCAATTAAGTTTTCTGAAAAAGCGGTTGGCATCAACATCATATCTAGAAAAGATTAGAACACGAGCAGCACGGTTCTGATTCGAAGCTTCTGTAGTTAAACAAATTTAACAATTAAACAAAGTTTAATTGTTTACTACCCCAGACAATATTACAATAATCGAATTGAGATTAAATGAGAGCGTTGTATATACCTGGAGAGAAGGCTTTGGAACAAAATTAATCGCTCCTATCCCGGAAGCGATCTTTTAGATGATTTATCGATGTGGGTTTGCCACCGTAGATTTTCATCAATAAATATTCCATGCAAGTGATTTTACAGAGGTAACTTTTTCTATCGGAACATTATCAATCAAGAGCTCGGGTTGGCTCGACAAAGTACTCAATTTTTTTTCTTGATCCAATTAGCATAAATTCAGATTTAGCAGTGTTCAAAGTAAGTTTGTTGGAAGTAAGCCATTTGTTCAGATTACCTAAACCGTGATTCAAATTTAACTGTATTGAATTCACATCAACATAGTAGGCTGGCATGAGGTTAGGCAGTTTGGCAAATCGTTCATGTAAATAAGAAATAAAAGGGGACCAAGAATTGTTCCCTGAGGTACCCAGCATTTAAGCGAACAGATTCTAGAAAGGGAACCATTAACGAGACCTGCATCGTTGTGTACGATTTGTCAAATACGATCTAAACCAATCGAACGGAGCAATTCCTTGTATTCCGTAAAGGTTCATTTTAGATAAAAGGATGTCATGATCAACAGGGCAAATGTCTTTTTTAAATCAAGAAAAATCACAGCATTAACATTACCGCGATCGATATTAAAGGCCCAGTTATCAGTAGCTTCAAGGAGAGTAGTTACAGTTGAGTGTAAAGAGCGAAAGCCCGATTGATATTTAGAAATGATATCTTCATTGCTCAAAAAATTATACAATTGGTCATAAACATGATCCTTTCGAAAACTTTAGCTGTAACGGAAATGATTGAAATAGGTCGATAGTTATTTAGATCAGACGCCTCACCTTGCTTAAACAATGGAGTAACCCTAGCACATTTCCAATTGCTGGGAAATAACCAGAGAGCAAAGATTTATTAAAGAGATCACATAGAGAAACTGAAATCAGATCGGCACATTCACGTATTATTTTAGCAGAGATATTATCAAGACCTGTTGCTTTGGATCTACATAATTTGTTTAGATAGCAGAAGAAAAACTGAACTTGTTGTTATTTACATTTATATTATTAATATAACTTACCTCATTATTATTATCATTTTGAGGAATTTCATTGGCAAGGCGGGGTCCAATTGTTGAAAAATGGTCATTAAAAAGCCCACTAGAATTAGAAATAACGGAACCATTCAGCTTCAATTCTTTCACCGTTGTAGTGTTGTTGCGACGGGGAGTAAGTTTGTTAATGGTTTGCTATGTTTTTGGAGAATTACCTTTAGATTGACTAAAAGCATTAGAATAGTAAGATGCTTTAGAAGTCTTAGTTGTTTATTTTATTTTCGCAACTTTTTGTACTTTGCCCAGTCGCGTGGATCGTTCGATACCATAGCTTTTCTTTTGGCAGCATCACGATCGCGCATGCCTTTCTTTAATTCTGAATTGATCCAGGCTAGGTGCTTTTTTTCATTCTAGCTCGTCTAGTTCGGAGTGGAACATGAAAGTTTACAACATCCAAAAATTTCGTTTTCCAGTCAGCCCACAAAACATTAGGATCATCAGAGGCAGAAAAGAACAGATATTTTGAGGGACAGATATCCATCGGGTGCCCCTGACTAGTCGTGGTAATGGCCTTAACTGACTCCCAAAAACAGCCAAAATACCAAATGATCTCGGTCTTACAGTCAAACCTCGTCAATACGGACACTGAAAGGGCCATCGAAAGTGTCCGTTTTAACGGTGTGTCCGTATAGCGGGTCCATGTTATTAAGTAAAGGTCTTACTTCCGGCTGACGTACGTTTTCAGCAAGCGAAGTCCTCTTCCATCACCCCCTATTTGGACAACAAGCACGTCTTCGTGATTAAATGCTTCTCCATATATTTACCTACAAATCTTTATCTATTTATTTTTCTTTTGTCCTTTTCTTTATAATTTACGTCAAGAGATTTAAGAGTCACGTTTTGCTGCAAACGGCAAACCTGAGTTTGTACCATGTGACAAAGGTTTCCCTTTGCTTGTCGTCTATTGTTTATTACTTCTACAAAAAAAATAGTATCTTCACGCCATTTTTATCCTTAAGAGTTCTTTTGTGCTGGCTGTTTTTATCTGTTCACCACCTATTTTGACGTTTGCCTACCGTGGGTTCCAGAGGTTATTTTTTACTTATCTGGAACTTGACAGTTCGCGGCAAAACCGCGACAGCGAGGCGCAAAGCGGAGCTTTCTCAAACCGTGAGCACGGTTTATTTCATCTTAAGTATTTTGACAACGGACCTCTGGAGCGAGGGTAATGATTGCTGTAAAAGTGACTCAAAATCTCTATATTTCGCAGATTTAGCAACAGAACGAGAACGTCATTTGACGACGGGAAAGCGCGCGGAAAGGACTTAACTCGACTTCTGGCCCCGGTTGTTCTAAGGTTGGATAACGCTATCCACCGGATAAATCACTATCCAGCGGATAAGTATTACGGAAATCAATTACGCTTCCGCTTTGATTTATCCGGCGCATCGCCGTCCGTCGTCAAATTGTTTGATTGGCGCACGCCGTCCGTCGTCAAATGACGTTCTCGTCTTGTTACTAAATCAGCCTATTGTTTTAACGCGAAAACCCAAGGGCGCACATCCCACCAGAAAACAAGTTAACAACTCATGATTACAATAAGTAGTATGTAATTCAGATATCTACTTTGTGATGATTACACGTCTAATAGTCAATTCTGAACTACATAATTATCTTCGATCAAGTTCTTTCCCAGTGCCTTCTCTGCTGTTGTAAACGCTTTCGTCGCGGGGACTGGGCACTAAATTTAGTCTTCCAGCTAAGAACTATAAACAAGCCGACTTAACGTGAAATTAAATAGAATATGATACAGCTCTACCATGCCAATAAAAAATGCCTTAACATGTTTTATAAAAGATAATGATCACAAAAACACGATCATACAAAGAGATCATAGACCTATTCCGAGTTGCTCCAAACCTCTTTTTAAAACAAGCGTAAGTACGGTAGGAACGGTTTCGCAATTGACCTCAGTTGGAAAGCGAGGGTGCTGGAAACCACAAGGACATGGCCCATTCAAAATGCTTTACATTTACCGTGTAACAATATCCACACATAATTTCTCCAGTTTTATCTCCATACATTTCACAAGGGATTAGTAGAGCGAATTTGATAAAAGATCAAAGAATATTTCTTTAGATGATTATAGTTAATTAAATTCTCATAACCTTTTCTTTTGATGATGTGTGAATATTGAGAAGAAAATTGATTTTGATCCCTTTTAAGAACTTGAGGGTTAACGCTTATTATTCATAAGAGAAATTGTGCTAAAACAAATATATACATTACAATAATTCTGGGCTACGATTCAACTATCTTTACGGGTAAAACACGCGGAGAAACAGGACACTGTCTCTCGCGTGATTCGTGTTTAAAGATGTAATGATCGCAGTTTGCTAAAAAATTCTGGTAAACAATAGAATTGTTCTATTTTAAGTTAAAATACAGTAGACCCTGAATAAGGGTGATCTTTTAATTGCGTTTACAAGAGTTTTAAATAAATATGTTGTGGAAAAATAACCTGGGAGAATTGCTTTTTTCCCCCGCAAAAACGGTTTGGTATTCACAAAAACTATTATTGTACACAAGATATTTTCGATCCTTATTCCATGCAAAACTTTACTATCTTTGGTTTGGTAAATAATTGTTCGTTATAATATTGTTTTAATGGCGTATTACCTACAGAATACGTCTTAAATTTGGCATATTAAATGATGATGTATGCTCAAGTGCTTTCTAGACTCCATAGCAAGCATAAACCTCAACCCCGAAATACACTTGAACACAGGCCAGAGCGTTCTTCCGAGTGATATTGTCCCGACTGGCTTATCATTAGGTTGGATCTTGGTTGGATTTCACGTTTACGTCCTTTGAGCAGTTATCAAGCGAGAAAACTATTAAATAAGTAGCTATTCTCTCCCTTTCTAACGACCGGGAGCTGAAAGTTGGTGATAATAAATTGATAAACGATCTTTTGTAAACGATCACGTCACCGCCAGCGATGAGCATGCGTCCAACGCTACAAAGGCTGAGTGGACCTTTCATCTTTGACCGGCTTCTGTAGAAACTAATGGCTCTCCGCGATAGAATCGCCGGCCCATTCTCGCAAACGCGAACAAGTCTCGGAAAATGGAGGTCTATCCGAAGGGCTTTCTTCCCAACACTCCCGCATCAACCCGAACATCCGCGCGGGGCAATCATCGGGGCAAGAGAGCAATTGCAGACTCCTAATCTGCTCAATGGCTTCTTGATTGGAATACCCGGCATAGGGGTGGCAGCCGTAGGTATAAAGTTCCCAGAGGAGGACCCCGTATGACCAGACATCCGTTTGGTGCGTAAAATGCAATGAGTTGAGTGCTTCCGGGGCCATCCATCGCACCGGAAGTAGTGCACTGCTGTGAACCCAAGAGTAATCCCTGGGGTATTTGTAACTCCCGATGCCAAGGTTAGAAATCTTCACGATGTTGTCTTCAGTGACGTAACAGTTCCGGGCAGCGAGATCTCGGTGAACGAACTTATGTTCCACTAAAAAGTCCATTCCAGAAGCGATCTGCAAAGCGAAGTCCAATAGAACATTGTATTCGCTGAGATCGCATGGTATTGTTCCAGACAGCTTGGAGGCGTTATCCAATAAGAAGCGATTAAGATCAATATCAGTATAGTACTCAAAGATCATGAATCGGGGTTCTTCGCCAGTTGACACGCCAATAAGGCACAAGATATTGATATCTTGAAGATTTGCCAGTATAGTAGTCTCCTTTTTAAAGTTCTCGATTGTAGCTGGCGGCACATCGCTTTTGAGCCGCTTAATAGCGATCTCTACGCCAGACATTTCAGAGTCCATTTTAATCAAGGAGCCTTTACAGACTTTAGCGAATCCTCCTTCACCAAGAGCCTCAAGAAACATGACTTTTCCATGATTTACCTCGGCGTGATTCTGCAAAAGTTCAACGGAAAATTATTTTAATCGCATCATCCTATGATTTTACGCTTGGTTACTAGTCATTGTTTAAGGAAGTCAGTCCTCACTGCGCCCCTCCATTCTAGTCCCTTTAACTGGCTTCGAGAAAACGACCACCGTTACCTGAAGAGGTTAAGGCACACTATTGCTATCTTTCTAAAAGCTAAATCTTATCTTCGCATCAATTGAGTTCCAAGAAAAGGCCCAGCTTTGTACTTTAAGACAATCATTAGCCATTGAGGATGTTTGTTGTGGTCTGTTGAAAGGGATAGCAAGACAACAGGCTATTATGGGGAGTGGCCCCAGGGTTGTTCACTGGAATGGTATCCAGTAGATTGCAAAACAGTCCGTATTTTTGCGCACTCAAGTACGCGCGAGCAGTCACAAAAAGGGTCTGGAGGGAGACTGGGGAGAGACACTAAAAATAAATTTCCTCTCGTCTCAAGCGTGAGGATCGCGCGCTTCGCGCGTGTGAGAAAACTCTTAAACTACATTAAACCGATTTTGAGAAAAGAATCGACTGTTTTGCAGTCTACGTATCCAAAAAGGTCTATAACAGTGCAAAAAGGGGACAAACTTTTGAGCCTATAGCTTAAAGAATACATGAGAAAAAAAATTATTTAAAAAATAGGGCAATCTCTTATGTTGGCGCCCAAAATCGTGAGCCGTCATGGAGAAGATGATTTTTTTACAATTGATTTCATTTTCAGAGTTTGGATACTTTAATTTCTTATATTTCCATTGTAACTAGTAAGTTAATCGGGAGTCAAATAACTGAAAAAAGACCCTAACCTGATTGAACACACAAGACTTGATTTCAGTGATGCTTTGCTTCAAATCAAAGCTAGGCTGCTGCAATGTGCTCTGGGTACTTTTAGAGATAGAACCGGAAGAGGCTTGGTCACCTTGCGGGAGCGCGCCCTTCCTGTGTTGTACCTTGAGGTACACGATGATTGACAGAAAGGCCACAATAAGGACTGCCATGATAGCGGAAATGACGTAGATGGTTCGCGCGACTGGTCGCCCTTGCGGCTGTTGCCTTCCGGTTTTTCCTGGCTCGCCTAAACGTAAGAAAATAATCTACAGTTAAAAGCTGGTTCCATTGGAAACACTTAGTTCTATGTTCCAAAAAATCTTACACCGTGTAAACCGTTTTGCGAGGGTCCAACCATTGAGTAACTTACTATACAACACGACGAAGATTTAAGGATTTTAGTAGATTCAACATCGGATAGATAGATAGATAGATAGTTTTGTTCTGATTAAAATCGCAGCCAAAAGCTGAATTAGATTAATCGTTGCAATAATAAAATCTAATAAAAATATGAGAAAAAATATAAGAAAAATGTACACATATGTAGCTAAAAATTTAATTACAGTTGCTATATATAAATGTGTTCTTAAGTCTCTTCGTCTTAGCCAGAGGGACATTAAAATTCCTCTTTCGTCTTAAATTGGATTCACAATTGTTACGAGGTGGCAAGAGCTCATGCAGTTTATGGTCTGAGTTACAAGTGATGGAATCAAAAAGCTTAGTTGTGATAGACTGCCTGCGTCGAGAGAGCGTCTCCAAGTTGGCTTGATGTAATGCGTCGCTATATGGTACAACGGAAAAATAATTCGCATGGCGCGCTTCTGTAGCTGGTCTAGCTCTGCGGATAAATATGCGGGAAGCGCGTTGTGAAACACCGGGCATGCGTATTCCGTTACTGGGCGGATACAGGTCAAGTAAAAGATTAGCAGATCTTTGGCGGGAATATTCGCTCTCTTCAGTTGTTTAAGAAAATATAATCGACTCGCTACTTTTTTTACTTATTTCAGCAACATCAAACAAAGTAGCAGTCAACCTTCGCAGCCGAGTATCAGTTTAATATTATCGATATATAAACCACACAATCCTTAATTCCTTGTTTCGCTCTGCAAGGTTTCGCGCGAAATGTCAGCTTTTCAAATTTCCTTCGTTGGTATATTGTATAATATACACACTCATAACATGGGAAGAATTATTCGTCTCACTCACCAATCTCCGCGCACTTCTCGATGTCACAAAATTCTTTTTCATGGCCCACTCCAACATAACACCACGGACTAGCGCGGACACCACCCGGGTTACGGCAGTAGTTATGCACTGGTGGGTCCATGTCAGGCCACAGACGGCAGGGTCGCCCAGATGAGCTCACATTCGCCCGCCCAAAGTACATTTCGCCAGTACCGTTGTAGCAAGACTGGTCTAAAGGAAAGAGAGTGATTTAGTTGGTTTAGAGAGAGGCGTTTTCTTAAACCTTTCACCCCCCATACTGAACGATGAAGTCTTGTAGGGTGGTCCTAACTTTTGAACCCCTGGACAAAATTCCGCTGTGTGACCATTCAAATAAAACCTCTTCAGCAGTACTTTCACATGGTACTATTTATCTAGTATGTAGTACTAACTTTTGAATCTGTTGATGAAATCCTATGGTGTTACCATTCAAATGAAACCTCTTCAGAACAGAAATAAGACGCGAACCATTTATACGAGCTGTTCTCGTCTTAGATAAGACATGCTCGTATAAATGGTACAGTTTGCGTCTTACTTAAGACGCGTCTTGTGTACGACGCGTCTTACGTTTCCCCGTATAAATAGCTGAAATGTGTGAGGCATGAGGAGTTTATTACCCTGCGAGCACGTTGACTAGTTGGTTTACGCGACAAACAAGCCACGCGAACGACTTCGTAAACGTTAAAGCCATGCAAGAGAAAAACCTCTGTTTGCAGGGTAGGAGTTTATAAGAGAGAAGACTATAAAAGAAGCGTTTATTGGAGTGAGATTGTCTGGGACAACTGTCGGTGATAAAATGGATAAAGAGACATCTAACTAGCATGTAATTCAACGATATCAAGGGACACGACAGTACTTCCTACAGAATTCACTATCATTATTTTGCTTCGTTGAGGTTTTTTTTGTTGTTTTGAATAGGCTTCGGCCGTGCGAGGCCCATGAATCGAAATGATGCTTTTTTAAGGTAGTACAATGGAAAACACAAGAGCACAAAAGTCTCTAATTTTTACGATATTTAAGGGAGTTATAAAAAAATTGCGCGGAAAATCGACAGGCGAGGAGACGTTGAGTGTGCAGGGAATTCGCAGCTGTCTGACTCAGCCGCGTCTTTTATAAAAGGCACAAACACAACTTGTAAACGTGCTTTCTACTGACCTTTGACTTCTGGGCGCAGAGTTAGAGTATTAGATGGAGAAGATGTCGGTGTCTTTAGTCCTAAAGATTAAACGGAACATGACTCAGAATCAGAAAATTTGACTCCTGGTGTTAACATGGTTAAGTATAAACTCTTGGAAAGCAGACTCTGACCCTTCCAGTGAAATCTGCAGCGCAGTACTTTCTTGGTAAAATATTCCTGGCCACGATAGTGTTCAATAAATGGAGGCTACACCGTATTGAGACTTCTACGTCTGTGAATCTGCAGTGTAAAATAGTCTCCCAGTGCTACTTGGGTCGTATGAACAGATCGTTGGCGAATGTTGCCACAAAAAGACTTAAGAGTTAAATGTTACCTGCAGTCCTGGTTTTCAATGTGATAAGACAAAATAATTATACCCAATACCCAACGTCACTTTTGGTTTACAGCATTACATTTGAGGATTCTCCTCAATAAATTTGGACCGGTTTATCGCCGCGTCGGCAGGGCTCAAAACAGGGACTTTCCGAGGAGAGGGGAAAACGAGAACGTCAAAAAACAACAACTTTGCACGTGCATCACGGTTTTTTTCACATTTCGTTGTCGTTTTTACACGACTACGACATGAAAAAACCTGATTTAACGCTTTATGGGGATCCAAACAAGCGACGACGAAATTTTATTTCTCTTTCTGAACTTGGACATGGTTCTTAGGAATTCAACTCCAGGAGGGTTCGCCTACATTTGACAAAGTAAGTGGTTAGGAATAGTCGCGATGAAGGCTAAAAGAACGTAAATTCACTTTTTAAGCGACGTTTTCGCGGCTGTCACGTCTTCGGATCTTGAAGTCCCTTCGGCAGCTCAACGGACAATTTGCCACTTACGAAACAAGAGGAAACTGGGTCGAGTTAACTTTCGCAAAGACTTCTGGGCCTGTTATTATTGTTACTCACGAAAAAATTGTTGTGAGAACTAATAAAGATATCAGCTCATGAAAAATGCTTTGATCTTCAAACAAATTCTCACAACTAATTCTTTAAGGAAATGTATTAAAATGGGTCTGGAGAGTTTGTATTTGGATACAAAGATTACCTACCTGGGATGCCAATCGATTTACAGTAGGAATGATCTTTGCTACCACGCTTGGGCAGAGCTGAACAGTCGGGTAAAACTTTTTTAAACTTTGGGTCAAATGCTGCTAACTGTAGCTCAACCAAGCAAACGTCGTCGAACAATGCATAGCAGTCTTCGCGACATAACCGCGGCTTAGCATCCCGCGTCAGTGGATCACAGGTGGGGAAGATGTGAAAACACATCCCAGGTATGCCATATTTAGTACAGCTGTAAATTAATAATGGTAACAGGACTGAGTGGAGTCCAATTCGGTCTGTAATCATACGAGTGATTAACAAAATCAGACGACCGCGTAGCGGGACTCCGATTTGTTAAATCACGAGTATGATTACCGACCGAATTGGACGACACGAAAGTTCTGTTACTATTAATCATAACTTTAACAAAATTTGTGATATAATAAGCTATTGTTTAAATCAAAACACAATAAATTCGAAATTTTGTTTTGCTAGTAGTGAGAAAAATAGCCATTTAAGCGCGCGCGTGATGGCGCGTACTGTCCAATTACTTAGGCATGACGAGTACTGTCCTATCAAACTGTCCAATTAAGGCTGAAATCAGGGCAGTTGATAGCCAATCAGATTTGACAATTTTGTTATAGTTATGATTAATACGGAAATAATTAGGGAGCTTAAGAAACCACGACGACAGTTTGTAAACACTCACTTTTGTTGTTTTTAACGTTGTGTAGAAGGTTTGGTAATTATAATGCTTGGAAGACACATGCGTTTGACTCGAAGCTGTGGTTTTGTCATTCACAAGTATTAGTTCTTAAGATCCATAGCGAATAAGGACGCGTAGCTGGCATTATTATTCATTCAAAATATTTCTCCGTTTCTGATTGGCTAAAATCACGCATAATTCATCATAACCGGCTACTGTTGACCAAATTTGGAAGAATTTTGCGATATCGAACTGATGACGTCAATCGTGCAGCAACATTGCCAGATTATTGAATTGTTAACCTAGAAGACCTAGGAACGAGGTTGAGTTGTTTTCGTGGTGAGTACAAAAATGGCGGTACGTTTCAGCCGCTTCATGAATCTAAATCTAAATGTCTGATCTGCAAAGGGCAGTACAGCCCATCTTCAGCAGATATGTGCTGTGCTCGTGCTATGTGCGCTAAAAAACAGTGCAGTGAATTTGTGCTGGTGATATAAAAATAAAAAAAGTTCAAATGCTCAATGGGGCCTGGCCTGGGCCCTCAAGGCAAGCTTGAAGGCCTCTGTGTTGGCAGCTTCAATAATTGTTTCGGGAATTTCGTTCCATTCTTTAACCGATCTGGGAAAAAAGCTATTATTTATATATATTAGTCCTGCAACCAGCAACGAGCGCGAAATGGGCGAACTATTGGCTAAAAACATAACAAGAACAGCAGGAAGACAACTCGACGGATGACATCTGCTATTTGGAGAATATTTGCGGGGCTGAACAACCCTTTATCTCCTAAACTTGCCGATTAACATGCTCTGTCAAAGACGAACTAAAAATCGATGGAGGTAAACATGTTTTAGCTTGTTTTTAAACTAGGAATTATTTTGAATGAATAATAAAACAATTATTGAATTTGGATTTCGTATTATCTGCAGAATTATGGAGATCTCGGAGGGTGTTTTCGGCCGAGGCGGATAACACCCTCCTCGATCTCCGCAATTCTTCAGATGATACTCAGCCTCATTCAATAATTGTTTTAACAATAATTAAAATTATAAACCGCAAAATGAACTAGACAGCCGTGACACAACCTCTTAAACACCCGATATTTAACTTTTCATTCTGTTAACCCTTTTACTGGACTTTCAGAGTCAATGATGTAGTCTTGCAAGGTGGTTCTCACTTTTGGGTGTGTGGACGAAAATCCTATGGTGTTACCACTCAAATGAAACCTCTTCAGCAGTATTCTCACATGGTGCTATTCATTTAGTATGTAGTTTTCAACTTTTGAGTCTGTTAACAAAACCCCATGGTTTTACCCTTTTAAGTGAAACCTCTCTGTACTGCAAACATGAAGCCAATACCGAATTCTATCTTTTGAGTCCTCCGAGGAGAAATTCGCCCTTTGTTGAGGGGGTCCACTTTGTAGCGGACCCTGTGTCCTAACGTTGAGCTTCCTTGAATGTACTTCGTAAATGCTTATAAATACTCAAATATACAAAATAAATGGCGCGGCCAAGTAAAATGGTATTATTATTCCTTTTTTTTGTGAATTTGAATTTGACCTCTTGAAATAAAAAGAAAACATCTTAGGAGATAGACTTTCTGGAAGTCTTTTACTTTTTTCCAGTTTGGTTATGCCATTTGACCGCGCGACGCTGTGCGACCTCATTGAAGCTCGCTTCACTCGCTTTTAAGAACTTATTATGAGAGGTCGACTGGTAGCGAGTCTAGTTAGGGGAGGGAAAAACTGAAACATACTTCTCAGACATCTGATTGGTTGCCTTTATGACGTTTAGAGCCCCTCCCAGTTCCCTTTCAATGAGCTGCTGACGTCCAGGAAACTCAACCCAAACGCTTTCGTTGCCAATGAACTCTGCGCATGCGTTGCCTCGGTAGGGTTCGCACAAGCCATACGGTGAAAGTGTTCTATAAGAAAAGAACAGTTATAAATTGCAACGCTTCGAAACGTTTCTGATTTCTCTGATTTTGTTTAAATTGAAGAGATCCTCAGAAAAATATTGCTACATCGTTGATGCAGTGTAGGGACAATGTTGAGATAGTGCTAATACAGTATTGAGACATTGTTAAGACAATATATAGGCGATATTGACACAGTGATGTGACAATTTTAAGACTCCAATCAAATCATTTCAGTGTCACATATACACTACCGCTCAGTAGCTTTTCCTGGTAGTTGTCTTCTGTTCAAAGTACAGTAGCGTCGTAAGAGGTTCGAATCCAAAACTCGAATTATAGGTACTGTAGGTGTGATAAGAATATTTAAGTTGAAAACTTACCCGTACCCAGTTTCTTTAGTAACAGTTGTAACTGCAACGACATAAAAAGAAAGATCGCATTTCATTACCCTAGCAGTTAAAAGGTGTTTCACACGTAATGTAACGTTTTCATGCTCTACAAGTTTAAAGGATGAAACCCCCTAGCGTGTGACTATAGGAACTAAGAGGAACTTTCCCTTGTACCGTTTAATATGCTGTACACGGGGATTCTAACTTCTGTTCTGAGTCTGTTGATGAAATCCTATGATCTGACTAATCACGATGTGAATAGCCTGTGACTATTTTAGCTGAAATCGTTTTAACGTTTGCACGACCAGCACCTTGCCACTATTGATCGCTTCAGCTTCACCGAAGCCAAACCGCAAAACGGAATCCTTACCTTCTGTGGTCGATTCGCTGATTTTTGCTAAAGAAAATAAAGAAAACATAATAATTAGTAATTATTGAATAAGGTTGAGAATGATCTACAGTGACAGGCGATCCTTCTTCCCTAAAACGCCAGATCGCAGGTTACATCTACAAATGTCAATAAATTTCGCCAAAATGTTGCCCAGATTTAAGATAAACCAGGGTTAGTGCAAATTTTGAACTCAGATATGACAGCTTAAAAAGCCAATTCAGTTGAATTCTCTTTGCCTACAATTTGATGATTGGATATGCTAAAAAAATAGAGAAAATTATCTGAGAGAGTGCTTTTGGTAAAAAGAAAAAGAAATCCGGGGCGCTAACCCGCGTTTGAACAACTTGGCCTAGATTATTTTCGATTTTCATATTGACTTATTAAGTGAATTTCTTCTAAAGCCGATGTCAATTGAGGCGATTTAAACACTGTCAGAAGCAAAAAATAAAACCTTACTTGTGGTAGTCTGAGTGCGCACAGGTGAGTTCAACTTATTTATTTTCAACTGCGCCTGCGCGGTAACTGTTCCTCCAGGACCTTCCACTTCACACCGATAAATCCCAGCATCGCCTACCCTGGCTCGTCGGATCTTCAGCCTTGATCCCCAACGGAAATTTAATATCTTGAAATTCTTATGGTCTGGAATACGTTGCCGGTCTTTGTACCACGTGATGTTGGTCTTCAAATCTTTGGAGCTAAGCCTGCATTTAAAGATGACAGGTTTCCTTTCGAACATGGTGATATCATCCAAGAATACTTTAAACTTTGGTCGCTTTTCTGCAAACAAACGAGCAAAAAAATGTGATACGCTATTCTCGGTTTGCAACAACGTGATATGGCGGCTACGTTGATGGTCAATGCAACAAAAATTATTTTAAAAAATTTACATGAAAATGGAGTTTACTTCCCAGAGGACACTACAGAAATGATTTTGTTCTTGACCACTAACATGGCTGCTAAGAAGTTACGTGCAAACCAGCAATAAGCTTCTTTTTCAAAGTCCACAATCATCCGTTTGAAAATGTGCTTACTTTGACCCTTTCTCCCCTACGGGACCCCCCCCCCCCCCGCTTCCCCCCGGAAAAAAATTTTAAGAATTACTAAAGAACTTAAGCTACAGTAAAACGGGAAACAAGAAACGTGCAACTTGTTTTGCAACACTGCTGCGAAACGAGCTGAATAGAGATTTCCCCATAAGAAATAGAGATTTTCCCATAGGAAATAGATTTCCCCATAAGGAATAGAGATTTCCCATAAGAAACAGAGATTCCTAAACACCCAAAACCGCGTTCTCTGTCCTCTACCCTTGTCGAATTCCCTACTTCAGAAGCTACAAGGGGAATGGCTTTAAGCTTTTGCCGCAACGATTTCTGGGATTGTTTGGGTGGATAGGCGTGAGTTTTGATTGGTTGATGGTATTTTATCTCCCCTTCGAATTAACAATTAGTTGATGCTTCAGCTGTGCGCATGTCGAGATATTAAGCACGCGGGAAGTTTGCAGGGCACGAAAGTGGCGTAAGAGTTGCTCGAGGCGCACCCCGTTAAATGGAAATTCAAGGGGGGTGGGGCTCTAAAGCAAAAGTGCCCTTCTTTTGGGGGGGGGGGGGGGTATGGATATTTTCTGGAACTACACATCAAAACTCAGTAAATACAAAACGCATTTTTATCAGCACTGCCATATCTTTTTTCAGAGCGCTTTTTCTTTTCCGGTTACAATCCTCCTCAAATATACAGGTAAGCCCCTTCGTTTATAAGCCTTCCAAAACCCCCTTATGAAGATGAATAAGACCAGGGTATAGAGCAATTTTCAATTGAGTGTTGAAAGTAATCCAGGATTGAATTGGTTTTGCTTTACTGTGCTGTTTGATTGGTCTAGAAAACTCGCGCCACCCTCTCAGCCAATCAGATGTAAACTAAAACCAATTGCTCCTTGGTCACTCGCGATTTCCCGCGCTACAGGCCGGTTACACGCGTTTACTTCGAGTTGCCATTGGCTCCCTCTGATAATTTCCTTTACTCTGATTGGCCGTGGTGATTACTTTGTTTTGGTTTTCGACACTCAATTGAAAAGCGCTCTAAACCAGGCGGATTACCGTATTCACAGTCTACATACCTGGCGGAACAACTCGGATACACGTGTTATAACCAGGGGCCCCCTTGGATGGCATGCTAGAGCAATCTGGCAGAAGATGTTGAATAGTTTTGATATTTCTCGCTCGTTCAAACTCTAGTCTACAGAAATTATTCTGTAGAATCATACAATCATCTCGACAAAACCACCTCGGCTTTGGGGCAGTGTAGGGAAGATCACAAGGCGGAAATACGTAGTTGCACAATGTAGGAAGCACGTAGTCTTTGCATCCGGGTGACACAAACTTTTTCAGAAGGTCATACTGAAGCCCCACTTTTCGAGACAGACTCGATTGGCTTCCGCGTTCTAAATTGACATAGATCTGCTGACCTTTGAGATAAGTTTCGCATAGTTCTCCAGCAGAGTACGGCTCACAGGATCTGGAAACGAGAAATGAAAGAATCAAAGAGGAGGAAAAGAGTTTTATGCAATACATCAAAAACTAGGGTATTCGAAAAGTTGCACATCCCCATAATACACCTTCTTTGCATCCCAAAACTTTGAATAACCTTTGTTTATGGTTTGTTCTGGGTGTTAAAGTGGTCCCAAGAGAAACTGAAGACAATGCTTATGCAAACTTTTGGGGGACAAGCAAGATGTATCGTGGGAGTTGTACAAATGGCGAATTGCAAAACAAGTGAAAGAAACTTTTGTGTTACATATGAAACGCCAGTTATTAGTGAGCTTACGCAAAGGACGGCTAAACATTTGTGTGTGATAAATATGACAGGCTATTACTTGCGTAAAACTACAAAGTTTGCCGTCTTCTTTCCCGTCCGCCGTTTCAATCTCAATCTCAATCTCAATCTCAAATCTTTATTTTAACACGGTAAAAAATTCTTGAATGTTGGCTTTCCAAAGTCTGTTCTCTGGGCTGTGGGGTCCCTCAGGGAACTATCCTTGGTCCTCTTCTATTTTTGATCTATATCAATGATTTGCCAAACTGTTTGTCGTTCTGCCAACCTAGGATGGCTCTTGTGCAAGTTCACTTATTACGGTATAACCCAGCAAGGTAAAGGCGACACAGCTCTAAGCTCTTGGCACGGGCAAAGGGGTCAACCTGTTCCTCATTTAAACGTTCGCTAAAGCTGACTCGAATGGGAGGGTGACGCTTTTTTTCAGGTCAACTTTTCTCCATATAAATGGGGCCTATTAAGTACGCTAAAGTGCAAGAATACGGTTTGATACTGACCAATCTCTCGACAATGGCTAGACTTAATCAAAAACAGGAGTAAATGTATCTGTTGTAGTTCAATTCTATCCTTGGTTGAAATTTTATTTCCCTCTGTTCTAGGGCGCGCTAATGTACGATAATGAATATAAAACAAAGGGAAATTAAATTAAACCAAGGATAAAATTAAACCACTACATATCCACCGGGACTTAAGAAGTGGCCATCGTGGTATCGTTGCGGGGAGTGGTTGCTAGTGACTACATTCTGCATTCTGCATTGCGTTTAGAGTACAAAAACGGCAAAACAACCAACTTTTGGAAATGATAATCGTTGATAACTACTGATACAAATAGTAGAACAAGAATTTAAAAAACTTTAATTTCGAATTATAAATAACTATTTGCATGTTTAATTATGGATTAAAACAAGATAACCAAGAAATATGACGCCGCCTCTCCTAAAGTCACGCGGATTACGTATTCACATTTAAGTTAACAAGATGTAAGATAACGTTTGCGGTGCGACAAAATCTTTATCCGAGTAGCTTCTGGGACGGATTACGTTGTTAAATTGGACACACAAAACACAGCACAGGCGTAAGTTGAGGATACACTTAACTTCATAACTTGTTTACAAGTGCTCCAGTGGCCAAATCAGACTAAACAATAATTCTAACAACAACCCGAACGAAGATTTGTCGTTTGGAAAACAGAAACATATGAATTTGCAACTACAAGAAATGTAGATAATCTTAGGAGGCATCCACGAACATCTTAGCTCGAGAAATAACCTAAGTGATACATTGGCAGCTACCTCAGCTTGATCGCAAATACTGCCCACTCGGCCGAGACAGAATGTTTCATAGCGCTCGAGCTTTTCAAAATTTTGAAAAACCAATGTTAATCAGTGTTTGTTAAAACATGTTTTGAGGCACAGTAGTATTTTGTTGGAGCTGCACTGATTATTCCAGAATCTTTATCGCTCGGGGCAATCGTCCATAATTATTCAATGCTACAAGGTTGTTAACGCAAGATAACACACTTATTTTCTGCCCAAACGGAAATTAAGTCCATTTTCTTTAGAAATCTAATAACAAAGGCGACAGTTCACCCAAACGGTACAAAAGAAAGTTTCGAAAGTTTATCCCAGATTGGCTGTTAAAACAAAGAAATTGCGGATACTCTAGAATTTCATACAAGCTGTTCTCTGTTAATTCCGAGACTTCGGTAGATGCTCAAGTCTGTCCCGGCCTGATTAACACAAAGATAAACAAGAAAGAGGAGCTTCGCTTCGGGAAGTTCTTGAGGCACGAACCAGCTCATAATCTACTTATGGATTTTGTTTTGGAGCCGCTGTGGAACACTTTACTTTTGATAGCAATAACGCATACAGTGGAACGCCGTTAATGCGACCACAGTTGGGCCTTAGAATCCTGGTCGTAAACACGAGGTGGTCGCATTAACGGGGTCTTCAAAATAATAAAAGACTCAATGGTTTTTACGTTTGTTTTGAAAAAATATGGCCGTAATAACGAGGTGGTCTTATAAACGGGGTGGTCGTAAGGCGGAGTTCCACTGTACTACCAAATTCACTGGGAAGTTTTGCATAGCTGTATTCTTCAGAGGGCAAAAAAGACTTCATAATACCAAGTCTGCTTAAAACAAAGATAAACACAAAACTGGGGCTTCCCTCCAGGAAGTTCTTGAGGCACGAACCAGCTTATAATCCGTTTATGATTGCTATTTAAGAACCGCTGTAGCATACTTATGATAGCAATGAAGTATACTCAAAATTCTCTAAGACGTTTCGCTTAGCTTTATTCTTCAGAGCAACGAAAGAATTCCCCCATATGACCAAAACAAGAAACACCATGTTGGTGAACAGAAAACGTGGTATTCTCTTCATAAATAGACTGCGAGCAGTACCTATTTTTTCTTCAGATTTAGTAAAGGGAGTGCACGCGCGCGCGCGAACCTTTTTTTTTTTTTCATTCGTAAGATTTTCTTGATTTTTAAACATTATCAAAAAATTTTCGTACACAAATAAAAGGATCGCTGAACAGACATTTCTACAAAGTCAGTTTCCTATACATAAACATACAAATAATTTGTCAGTATGAAAGTAGGTGATAAAACTTTCCCGTTCCAGGTACTGTTCCTACAAAACAAGATGGTCTGGTCATAAGAACCTTTCAGTCTTTTGCCCAAACCTTTCAAATCTTACGCCTGCGGAATAGAAATCGTTAATAATTTCGTAAAAAATGAGTGTTTCTTCCCCTTTGTAATGCACTGACATGATGGCCTCGTACGTAAGCGTTTGCACTAGATCAAATCAAAGCTACAGAGCGAAGATTTCATGTGTTTCTGCTTCAGAATTGATAATTCTTCCCAAAGACAGTGCAAATCTTTCAGAAAAATAACAAAATACCACTTAGAGTTAGCACCTTTACAGACACAGAACCCAAACGTAACAAACAATACCTTTCGATTTAGTATGAGAAATATGCAGCGTTACCGCGACGTTAGATAAAGGCCTGAGCCGAAACCTAGTCTCTGATAACACGCAATGACAATTAAAAATTCTCTTTCCAATTTAGAATATCGTAAACTTCCGATTATAGGTCAAGTCCCTCACCCACCTAAAACCCCTCCGCCCCCCCTTCCCATTTATAGGCCCATTTAAAACCAAAAAATACATCCGGTTATAAGTTCTCCAGATTTAAACCCCCCATCTAGCTTGTATTGAAATGAACTCGACTTTTTACAAAGTTTCGAAGTCTCAGAAAGTGATCAAATTCCAAAAATGGATTGTGATCAGCGCTGTTATATAGCTTGTTTTAGAGAACACTTTTTCAGTCATGTTATAACCTTCCCCCCCCCGCCCCCTGCGCCGAACACAACCCCCCCGGTTATAATTACTCCTAAAAACCCCTTAGGAAGTTGTCTAAGCACAGAGCTTACAATATGAAGTTTACGGTACTTCCGTATCCGTCACCTGGTGACTAAAAAAATATTTTGTAATACCATTGACTGTGGTGACGAACTTTATTTACCTCCAAAGGGTACGTGCTGTTATTTTGCAGGTCATTAAGGTTTTTTTATTGCTTTTAATCGCATCAAATACTCACTCTCAAACTTAAACCACATATCGGCATGTCAAGTTCTTCTTTCCTCCGAAAAGAATCACATTCTTGCACGACAAATTCTTCGCTGCAGCTGTTTTTCAAATCAAAGTTTGGGATAGACTTATGAATCCTTTAAGAGAGCGTTTAATCTTAAAATATTGAGCTTCGAAAGAAAGCCTGATTCAGTTCCTGAATCAGTTGATTTCAAGTCTAATTGCAAAGCTGTGAAGATGCGTTAACAGATAGAAGTTCTCTTCCTTGTACGAAGCAACAACTGCTCACAACCTAACTTACATCTTTTGTGGCTATTTCGTTTACCAGAAGATGGATGCTTCGCGTTGGCGACAGTAAATTTCTTGGCAGCAATTTTAATTTTTACACTGCTCTTTCCATCTCACGGCTTCCGGATTAACAAAGCTTTAGTTGAAGTTATGAACATAAAAAGGATTATGTCTCTGTTGTTATGTGGATGGTTAGATAGGATTAAAGGTACATTTGGCCACATGACAGAGAAACATAGTTTCACGATGTTAGATCATAACTCTTCACTTTCAAATACTAAAAATAGAAAGTGTCGTTTCGAAAGATATGGAGAAGCAGGCGGTACGGCAAAAAAGCCTGACGCAAGTGTTGTCATTTCAGTGTCCGCATCTCAAGATTTTACTTACCGACCGAACCAACCTGAACCATGATATAACAATGCAGAACCATAGAAACTGCTCAGTAACCTTAATAAGTTTCAATGCAAAACTACTTTATTTCTAGGGATTAACCATTAACACCACTCGGACAATGGTCCTTCGAGAAATCAGGGCAGCTCATACGCATT